GCGAGAGCAAGGGAGTATGACGTTCCCGAATCTCTTGTCGATAGCCTTAGACTTGCTGGAGTCACCACAATGGCACACTTGGCTTTTTCTATTTGCAGACCTGGGCAAGATTTTGAGGAGTCAAAATTTGAGCAGTGGGTCACCACAGTAAATGGGGGTGTAGCTCCTACAGTAGGGGCCCTTGCAGCTATTCGTAGGTTGCACTTTGAGGCGGAGATTGTGGTCACTTCGACCTTGAAAGCATCTGTTGAGCAGGCACAGGAGTCAACGACACCTAGGCCTCTTCCCCAAGCAGAAAGGACTGCACGCATGAGACAGCTGAAACAGCAGTTCACAGGTTTGAATTTGGAAGGTGTAAACGAGCCATCACAGGCATTGGTAGATGAGTGTTGCCATCAGAATGAGACAACGGTTTTGCGTTACATCGAACCTGCAAAGTGCAACTCAAGAGAGTTTGAAGTAGCTGTTGGCAGAACTGACCGAAAGTTGCGCATCGAATCAAACACCCTGTCGGTCAAGGAAGCAAAAACGACACCAGATGAGGATGTGAGCACCTCTTTCAAATTGCAACAGTGCTTTAGACGTCGAGCAGTTGCTTATGAATTTGCAAGCCTGTTGTCTTTCAGTGTGCATGAGAAATATATTGACAAGCTGATGCGCAGATTGCATACGGAACCACCTCCAAATTATCAGGCTACCAGCCTTTCTCAAATCCTTCGTGCCGACCGTGAAGTTTGGGTCCACATGTCACAGAATGTGGATGACATCAGGCAACAACCAGACGGCAGCAGGCCATTGGACAGAGCAATTATGGAAGCCCTTAGTGATTACAACGTTGCGTTTCATTTGTTGCCTCTGCCTCTTCCATCTTCAAGTTCATATGCCCCTGTTCGAAATCGAGAAGCATCTCAGTTTGATACAAACTACAAGGGCAAATCAGGCAGTTCAGGGCGCAAGGGAAAAGGCAAGTCCAAGAACCAGCAGGGCTCCAGCGTTGCCCCAAGAGGGATTACAGGTGCAGTCGGCCGAGACTCAAAGGGCCGCGCCATTTGTTTCAACTTCAATTTGGGCGAGTGTCCTGACGCCCCTGTAGGAGGCGTTTGCAAAAGAGGTCGCCACGTCTGCTTCAAGGCCAACTGCTTCAAGACCCATGCATTTAGTGTGGCGCATGCTAGCGAGATGCCAAAGGATGCTGGCAATACAAACTGACTTGGGGCCCCCCTAGAAGGTTTCACAGAGCAGGATGTAATCATCTTAGAGCTCTTTTCAGGTACAGCAGGCGTGACTGCAGCCTTTAAAAGGTGTGGATTCGAAAACTCCATAGCTGTTGACAAAGTACGGTCACATGGCTCTTTGGCGAGTATCATCCCATTGGATTTGACAAAACCTGAGGATCAGTTGACTGTCATGGAATGGATAAGACATCCTGCAGTGAAAGGAGTTTATTTAGCGCCTCCTTGTGGTACAGCCAGTACAGCCAGGCAGATACACCTGCCCGGAGAAAATGCACCAAAGCCTTTGCGTACGTTGGATGAACCAAACGGTATTTCAACACTCTCTGGCACTGACATGCTACGTGTAAGCGCAGCTAATGTCCTTTATGAATTCACAGCAGAGGTCATGGATCTTTGCACCTTGTTGGGAAAAGCATGTATGGTGGAGAACCCTCGGAACAGTTTGTTTTGGGTGACTACATGGTGGGCCGAATGTGACAGCAATGGGCATCATCACATCTCAGATCATCAAGCTTGCGTATATGGTGCCCAAAGGCCAAAGTGGACGCGGCTTACTGCTAATTTTGAACAAGTCCACACAATTTGCAATACATGTCCTGGAGATCACACCCACCTGCCGTGGGGAGTCATACGAAGTGGCAACAAACGAATTTTTGCAACGTCCCTGGAAGTGCACTACCCGAAACAGCTCTGCGAAGCTATTGCCCATGCTTTTGTTTTGAGATTTGTGGAACAAGGCCTTGTTTTCCAGGGCCACTCCTCTTTGCAACATAGAGCCAAGGCAGCCACCTTGCAGCAAACACCCACGCTTAAGCTGCCACCTTTGTTTCCTGCTCACAAATCCAGGTTTGTGACTTTTTGGAAGTCTCAGCAACTTGTTTGGCCGACTACTGCAGTGCCCCCAGCGGCCAAACAACTTCACGAAGTTCAATTTGGGGAAGAAGTGAGCGTGAAGCAGTGTAACATTGCGGAAGGAGTGAGCAAACGAATTCTTGAAGAGTTGCACGTGTGGCATGTTGATTTTTCCTTGAGTTTTTGGGTTGCAATGGGAACCAACAGAATTTTTGGATCAAGCCTTGAAAATCAAACACCCTGTGGGGTTGCAAGATGCTTTACCGTTGGAATTGGCAAAAGCAGTTGAACGCATGCTGACGTGCAACCCGTTGGAACTGTCAAAGCAAAGGTTGTTTTTCTTTAAGAAGTGGAATAGTCGCGCAAAAGAGTTGTGTCAAGCTGAACTGGACATGCGCCGAGACATGGACCCGGCAGTTGAGAAAGCGGTGCGAGGGAAGAAAATCCTACTGTTCAAAGAGATGCTTGAGCATTATGGTTACCCAGATGTTGGAGTAGTTGATGAGTTGCGTATGGGGTCCTCTCTTGTAGGTGAAGTGCCAGCTATCAGCATGTTGCCATTCAAGTTCACCCCGGCTGTCACTACACTGGAATCTCTGAAGTTGCAGTCTCAGATGCGCAGACTACAGGTGATGTCCGAGCCCTGCAGTTCAGGTGACAATGAGATTGATGAAGAGGTCTGGAGACAGACTTTAGAGGAATGCGAGCGTGGTTGGCTGAGGGGACCTCTGGAAGACGATGAAGTGCCAAATGATGCCCCTATCTCTCGCAGAGTTGGTTTGAGACAGAAACATAAAATTCGTTTAATAGATGATTTTTCGGAGTCGTCGGTGAATCAAGCAGTGACGGTTTCAGAGACTCCGATCCTTCACACCATTGATGTTGCTTGTGCCTTGATTTCAAAGTTTTTCACTGAAGCTGCCCGACTTGGATTTGAGAAGGAACTGGTCGTCAGGACGTTTGATTTGTCCAGTGCATACAGACAAATTGCATTAAACTCAGAAGGACGCAGTGTGGCCTATATTAGGGTTTTTAACCCGGTCACTGGACGTTGGGCATTATTTCAGGTGTTGGTTTTGCCTTTCGGAGCGATTCGTAGTGTGCATTCTTTTCTTCGTCTTGCACGTGCAATTTGGTGGCTGGGGACAGTGGGTTGTTCCCTACCTTGGTCCTCCTTCTTCGATGACTATATAGTGTTTTCAACACCGCCTCTTGCCAAGAACACTGAACTCTCTGTTGCTGCCCTCTTCAATCTCCTTGGGTGGCTTTTTGCGCAAGAGGGTCGTAAGTGCATGCCTTTCAGTGCACAGTGTGAAGCGCTTGGAGTCATTCTGGACCTTTCAGAATCTTGGAGTGGAATTGCAAAAGTTTACAACACAAAATCCAGAATTGAGGAGATCAAAGCAGAAATCGAGCGTATTCTGGAAAAGGGTTGGATATCACAGGTTGAAGCGCAGAAATTACGAGGAAGGATGCAGTTTGCTGATGCCCAAGTTTTTGGCCGCACTGGTAAGAGGTGCACTCGAGCGTTGAGGGATTTTGCATCCAGGCGTCGCTCCAAAATCTGCCAAGCTGATGCAACCTTCTTGAAATTGTTTGTGCAATTGCTTGAGTCAGATGAACCTAGGTTGATACTGCAGGAGTCCTTGGAGCACGTTGTCATCATCACAGATGCTTGTTATGAGCGTGAGTCCAGGTCTTTACAATGCGGACTTGGAGCAGTTTTTGTGGATCCGACTGGTGGAAAGAAACAATTTTTCTCTTGTGAGTTGAATGAGATTCAGAGACAATTGCTTGGAGAACTTTCGAAAAAACAGATCATTTTTGAAGCAGAGACTTTGTGTGCGGTTTTGGCACATTTGATTTGGGTACAAAGCTTGGGCAATAAGAAAGCCTTTCTTCACGTTGACAACGAGGGCACGAAGTTCAGTTTGATTCGTGGTACTTCTGAAAATGATACAGTGAATGTTCTTGCGCAGATTTTTGCCGAGCAAGAGGTCTTAATGAAGACAAGCTGTTGGATTGCGAGAGTGAGCTCGTATAGCAACATTGCAGACGCCCCGTCGAGAGGAGACATCCATCAGTTGAATGCTTTGGGTTTTGAGGATATTTCAACTTTCGCTTCAATTTCTTTGGAACAAATTCTAGCAGCCATGGTTTGCAAAATGGGGAACACGGCTGGCTGCAATTTGAGTCAGTCCCACCGTTAAAACAGTGTGTATCTGCAAGCTGCGAACGTCGTTGAAGGAATAAGCGAAAGTCACGTGTGACACTGTATTATTCCTTCTTGTGATTTGTGCTGAACAAATCAAGTGAGCTTCAATGTTGCTGCTTTGGTCCAAGTGGAGGGTTGCGGTGGGTGTCCACCTATTTCGTTGTTGCTTCAGCCCTCCATCCACCCCTTGCTCCACCAGATCATCTTTGCCAAGCCCACAGCCAACACGGCTGGCTGCAATTTGAGTCAGTCCCACCGTTAAAACAGTGTGTATCTTCAAGCTGCGAACGTCGTTGAAGGAATAAATCTTGTGTTTGATTTTTCCCGGTCAACTGTTTGATTTTTGAAACCTGGCACGTCCCAAAAACCTCGATATTTTGGCAGCGGGGGGTGAAAAACCATTTCTTGTAGCAATCTGATTATTATTGCATGTATACCTATCAATGGCACTAGCTTTGTTCCGGATATACAGTTTTGCACTATTGTAATTCTTTTCCATTTCTTGCTACCTGAACAATCCTCAACACAGCATCCTATATAGTCGCACTTCCAACGCATTTGAAAAAAACATGTGGGAGACACTGAAATCAAAAAACTGCAAGACACGAAAACATGTAATATATGAAACACTGAAACTTCGGAACTGGGAAATCCTCCGGATGGCATAGTGCTCAGTGCAACGCGAATCTCCTTGGCTTCGTGAAACATGGCGTCGAAGGATGATGCAATCCGCAGCTTCGATGTGGCAACCAGTTTGTTGATTCAATGCCGAATGGCCCATCAACAGCTGCAAACAGCAGGATCAAAGGAAGAAAAACTCTTAAACCGAAGCTTAGCTGGAAGATGATGCAAGATGGACATTTTAAGTTTTTTGCACGTTTTGGGACGAAAGTGTTTTCCTTCGAAACTTGCAGTGAGGATTGTGTCGTGAACTTCAATCTCTTCGGAGTCAAGTCCCTGAAAGCTTCGAATTCGCTTTGAGGGACGACAGTGAAGTGGATTCTTTTCCCATGCCGATGCATCTGCCGCCTACCTCAGATTTCGATCCGATGAATCCGATGGATGAACGCTCGAGCTCTACGAAGCCACGAACGCCGGCCTCCCGGGAGGCCGCCCAAGCGCAAGAGTCCAACGGACCCGGCCAGGTGGATCCCATGGATCCCATGGATCCCATGGATCCGAATCCTTCGATCCGACGGAGTTCGGTACATTCCACGGAATCGAGGGCATCACGGAGTTCGTTTAAGCGTCGCAATAGTCGCAATACGACGTTTGACGTGGAAAGTGATCCGGTGACCCACAGCTACTCGATCAATGGCATCACGAGAAAGGAGCCATGTCCCGCATTCCATCGGGTGAAACAACAACATGAAGATAACAATCCCTCAAAATACAGTGCAGGGTCTGCATGGTTTGGGGCGGCAATGACGTTCTGTGAGGGTACAGTGATTCCCAAATGACAGATGGAATTGCTTGGATTTGTTTGGTGTCTGTATACTACACACTTTCTTGTGGTTCAAGTAAGGATTGCGGTGTGCAATCCGATCCCTTGTTTTTTGTTTGGGGCCGGAGAGTACCAACCGGTGTTGCGGAAGTAGGCCCTGTGTTTGGCATCGCAAGAGGAGCCAGCGGTTCCTCGCAACACGCTCGTGAATGTGCTCAAGACCAACTTTGGAACAGACACTTGGACGGTTCTAGATAGATAGATAGATAGATCGATAGATCGCTCGATCGATCTCCAGTTACGATATGTTATCTTGAATCCTTTCAGCCACCACAACTATCACAGTTAGAAAACCCGAAGGGAGAGAGCGAAATACAATGTTTTGCCAGGTTTTTGTGGCTTGGCCACCATTCAGCATACCGCCAGCACTAGCAGGGACTGATTGTGTTCCATTTCTTGATCACCGTGGAGCGTCGTTGGAGGAATATTTGGAGATCCCTTTGGTCTTGCAGGGTCTCCTTAGTAATCATGCCTAGTCGGGCGCTCCAAGCGGCTTGAGGTCAGAAGGGCTTGAGGTCGGAGCCCGCCAGCAAAGGGTCGTCAAAACAAGGACATGCAACAAGGCTTCTGCCGGTCCTTTGTCTGTGTGGTGCTTATTGAACAGAGGGGCCTGGGACAAGCTAGCCAGACATGCAAAAACCATTGAACAATATATAGAACAATTTGACAAAGCGTGCAAAACAAATTTAGACATAAAAACAAAACACAATAAATGCAAAAACAACTCAAAAAACAGTGAAATTTCGAAGAAATGCATGACACACATGCAACTGTGAGAAGCACACGGAACAATAACAAAACATACACATCTATACATGAAAAACACAAATCACGGAAAGGAAAAATGGAACACAATTTTTGCAGATCCTTCTCCATTTGCTCTGTGTTTATTAAGTGGGGCATGGAAAATTGTACAAACCATACAAAACCTAAGAAAATAGCAAAGGATCTGAGCAAACAAAAGTCCGCAGATCACAAAAAAAACACAAATAAAGCAACTAAAAGCGAAATGGTAAACAAGAATCGAAACTGCAAACAAGATCAAATATCGCGAAAAGGACATGACAAAACATGCAGTTTTTAGGTTCTGCAGTTCCTATGACATGTGTTTTGTGTTTTCTGCGCGGGTTGGCCTGGGGCATTGACAAGACATTCCCATTAATCAACGAAAACAGTAGTATAATGGAAATTATATATATATATACATGTAATGATATGATATGATATGATATGATATGATATGATATATGATATGATATGATATGATATGATATATATATAATATACATATGCAGAATTTGAGGACTACTGTTCCCGAGAAATGCTGACCGTTTCAGCGGGCTGAAAGAAGCTCCCGGCCGTTACCTGCGCTTACCATTGGAACGCAAAGAAACGAAGGATAAACCATGCAACAGTTCTGCAGGTCCTATGTTCTGTGCCTTGTGTTTGTTAGGAGGGGTCAGGGACTGTGACAAAACGCGCAGATACAACAAACTCTTGAAAAATCGAAGAAGAAGAAGATGACACAACGCACAGAAACAAAGGAAGAACTTGCGAAAAACGGTTTGAGATCAAAGAAGAACATGTCATGATGAAATATCCACAAAATCATTGAACAACCCAACACATTAGTCGCAAAACAGGCAACGAATATTGAAATATGAAAGGACCACTGGATGAAAACCAAAGGGATTTTTGCAGGTTTCAAATGAAACATGTCCTCTCATTTTGTGCGGAAATCTGATTCCATGGTAAATGTGTATGGTTTAGCAGATATGTAACCATATCACTATGTATACAGGTATACTTTGCAGCACGTATTTGCTTCCTATATATTCTTAGCTAGAAACGTGTTGAGTTCAAACACTTACGGCCTTCCGATGCCTGAGGTCATGGCCTCTCAAATTGAATGAATCAGCCTAGGCTCGATGCAAACATATGCAAACGATCCCAAAACACAAGACTTGACCATTGTGTTTCAAGGACAAGCGCATAGCAGACTCTCTGGCAAAGTGTTGGCAAATAGAAGAACCTGAGAGACGTGGATGTTTGGCAAAACTGGTCAGATCCAACTTCTTCGGCGCCAGTTGTGGCGCTCCTTGCCAGCACATTCAGCATAGACATGCACGGTAGGACTTGGTCTAGAGACCGTTTTGGCTGATGGAGCGGGGGACCAAAGAAGTATCAAAGGCTGTGATTAGAGAGCGGTAGATGAGGAAAATACCCAATGACCGCTATGACCTTACGAGTCTAGAACTTGTAATGATCCATGTCATGTTGGGTGTTGGACTAAAATTAATCACTGTATGCAGATACATGCACCTGATTATTTTGAAAACAATTCAAACTTAGAAACAATATAAACTTATCGCGTCTTGGACTGTGGACAAACCGTGAACTTACATCGTGGAAATACTTTGTAAAATTGTGGGTTGAGTGGGCTTAGGTTTTCACAAATTTGTCATTTAGCCTATTTGAGTACCGTCCCAGGATGATAATGGGCTGCACTTCCAGTCTGTTTGTGTCTGCACCCACCTGTGGTGTCAAAAAATATTGAGGGGGGGTGCTATCCAATAGTGCCAATCTGAATACTTCCGACACAAAAAAAAAGGTCACCAAAACGTCGCAAAATCGTCATTTCTTGTATGTGGCCTTCAGTCTCCAGAAAAAATCTTTTGACTGATAGGGTATATTACTCTTGTCTATCCTTCCCTACCCGTATCTTCCCTTCTCTTCTGTGCTGATTACCCTTATCTACTCCACTCTTTTCTGTTTGAAATTCTCTGCTCTGCTCTGCTCTGCTCTTCTCTGCCCTTCTCTTCTCTTCTCTTCTCTACTCTGCACTGCTCGTCTCTTCTCTTCTCTTCTCTTCTCCTCTCCTCTCTTCTCTTCTCTTTTCTTCTCTTCTCTTCTCTTCTCTTCTATTCTTCTCCTCTCTTCTCTCCTCTTCATACTACTCTACTATTCTTTTCTCTACTCAATTTTCTCCGCTCTACTCTACTTTTCTGGAATCTACTTTTCCCTACTCAACTCTTCTCTGCTTTAATTACTCTACTTTTCTTTACTCTTCTCTCCTCTCCTTAAACCTTCTCTACTACTTTTCTCTGTTGCTTTAGGTCTACCTACATTTTATTCTCCGTAACTCAAAGTTTCTCTAATTAAAACGTCCTTTGACGAGTACAGGAGGACATAGAAATAGGTCTTCCATTCTTCACTGCCTGGTGATTTTTGGGGTAAAATCCAGTAAGGCCCAGGTACAGTGTCAAGTCTCCGAGTCATGGTTCCACGGCCATGAAGGCGATTTCACACGAGGCACAGCCAAATGACTCTCATTCAGGGCGTGGTGAATGAGTGAATAATCAAGACATGCAAGAATTTCATAGCTGGGCAGTATCACCATCCAGGGTGCCACTTGTCATGTGTTTGTCGGTCTGGTTGAACGGTTGAACGGTTGAACGTTTTGAGGCTGTCATTTTTGCGAATGCAATCTTCATCCTGTATGCAACAGACTATGAAATGCAGAATCTTAATCAGCCTACGTCCCTGGAAGACCAAAACATCTCAGCGATGACAGCGATTGAGCTTCTGCTGGTATCTTTCTACGTGCTTGAATTGGCATTGAAGCTGATCGTCCACAAGTTCTACTTCTTTTGGAACTCTGAAATGGTTTGGAACTGGTGCCTTGCAAACTTGTGTATTACACAGTACCTGTTCCGTTTGAATTAAACACGTGTTCGAATGAATTCACATGTCTAAGAATTTGCATAGTTTGATCATGCCTTTTCCAGATTCTTGCAGGTTTGACTTTGTGTTGGTGCTCTTCTCCATTGTTGAGAATGCTTTGTCATTCACTCTTTACGCAGCAACGCGAGAATCTGGTGGATCAGGCGTCAATCTCGTTTTTTTGAGGCTGCTCCGTTTGTGCAAGGTCGTGAAGATTCTCCGTGTTTTCCGGGCACTGAAATTCTTTACCGAGCTCAGACTGATGTTGGATTGTGTGGTTGGATCATTGATGAATTGCTTCTGGTGCTTCATCATGCTTCTTTTTGTGATGTATGTCTTCGCCTTGCTACTCCAGCAAGGGGTCCTGCAGCATCTTCAAGACAACAGGTCCTCTACAGAGCTCAGCGCAGATATGCAGACCTACTTCAGTTCCGGGGTTGCAACCTTGATGACTCTGTTCCAATCATGCACTGGCGGAGTGGACTGGAGTGATCCGTACAAAGCATTGGAACAGACTGAATCCTATTTGCATATTGTTTTCCTTCTGTACATTGCTTTTGTATTCATCTCGGTCTGGAACGTTGTGACGCTGGGCTGAAAGTATGTCTGTATCTTTGTTTTTGTTCATCTATGCTTTTAAGTGTTCCCTTAGAAGGCTTGATTGTTTTGGAGCACCTGCCACACCAGGACAAGCAGTTTTGTGGAGAAGGCACTTAAACTTGCCCAACCTGATCTTGATATGCTTGTCCTTGAACAGCAGCTTCAAGAACCTCTTCAAAAGCAGTCTGATTCTTTTGATTCGTTGGGGAGTATTTGATGAATCTTTTGTTTGGGTGGATAGGTACATAATATCTATATATTATGAAATCAAGGTCCGCTCAGCTCTTGGAGTCATCAACTGCACCCTCACTGACTACAGAGCATGTTTTCTCACATCCTTTGCCGCAAATGCCTGGCTTGAGGACTTTGAAGACTGTCGAATGCTAGCTACACTCTTCAAGAAGATGCTGCGATTGCAGGTTGATGAAGAAGGCCATGAACGCCTTGGCTTAGAAGAGTTCCGGAAGCTAGTGGAGACGGACGAATTTAGATCGTATCTTCAAACTAGAGGCACTTTGGTTGAAAGATGTTGCAGTAGACTAAGGTAAGACGTTTTTCGAGTTGCTCATGATCTCCGATCGTTGTGTTGTGGAAGTGCAAGAAGTGACATGTGTACCGCTTTGCTATCATTTATTGCTGTCCATTTCTTATGCACATGAGAGGCTTCTCGCAGCTGGTTATAGGATGATTATCTGCGCCAGTAATTGCGAGAGATTGCAAGCATAGTGCGAACTATGAAAATTATGAAAACAGCCTCGTGATATGTCACGAAAGCTAGCTTGCTAGCTGGAGTTGGATTTGCGTTAACAATGAATTGGGGGCAGACTAGACGCAGCTGCCATCATGTCGAACTGTGACCCCCCCGGGCTCAAACCCTGCGTCCATCCCGCTGGGATCCGGCGTTTGCATGCCCACGCACACACATATATATATATGCATATACTAATATATATATATACATACTAATATATATATATACACACATATATATATACATATAGTATATATATATTATAGTATGTATATATTTATATATATACAATTATATACATATATACTATACAAGATGATATTCACCATGAGTGTTGTGAATGCGATGTAATGCAATGTAATGCAATACAATGTACTGTGATGCAAGCTAATCTAATCTAATGTAATCTAATGCAATGGAATCTAACCTAACTAATGCAATGTAATGTAACCTAATCCAATGTAACGTAACCCAATGTAATGTCATCTTCTCTGAAATGTCATCTACTCTGATGTAATGTAACATAATGTAACGCAACGTAACGTAATGTAACGTAATGTAACGTAATGTAATGTAATGAAATGAGATGTCATTTGAGAACATCCACTTGGAGTCTTTCATTCCATTTCCTCAAGATGCCTGCATGAAAACATGTCCCTGTCTTGGCGAGGAATGGAAGATGCGCATCTTAAGATTCCCAAGCAGTTCTTGCTCCATGGATGTATGCATCTAAGTTACCAGATTCTATGGCTGGGTTATTTGTATAGTGGATGTATTTATATATATATGTAAACATTTATAATGTATTTTTAATATTTTTTTTTGTATAAGTATAATATATCTATATGTTTACAATATATATGATTTATATATATGATATATTGAATACATATAATATATTTGATATATTGAATATAATATATTTAATATATTTAATATATATATAATATTATATATATATAATGAAAATTTTATTTATATATATTGTAATATCTATACATACATATATATATATATATCTATATTATAGAGGTACCTGCATATAATATATTCATCATAGACATATGTATATACATATAATATGTCCCGGACAGAGGAAAGGTTGAGAGAAAGAGGTTCAATCAGATGATTGCAAAGTGGCTCAACCGAAGCGCGTTCGGTTGGGGTCACTTTGTATTTGACAAGTAGGGTACTAGGAGCGTAATCTTGGCGCTGGTATACTAGGATGTCAGGGGGAGGGTAGTGGAATGACTATGGTGCATGCGGGCTAGAATATCATGATACGCTGCTGCTGGCCTGTCAGCAACATCGAAGGGTAGCTGATTTCAAGTCAAAAAATGACACTCAAAAGGTCGCGCCACATATTCTCTCAAACACATCTCTCCTTGCGCAACTAGCCTTCGTCCCCTTCCCTTTGGCCTCAAGTCTTGTGATTTGCGGAACTGTGACACGAATGTCCGGCAACACTAGCATATATTACCACGGAACGAACTAGTCTACATACGTCAACATATACGCGCAAATCATCGGCACTTGTATAGCCAAAAAGTACGTATTTGTGCGGATATATCTGTGCATTTATGCATTCACTATGTTGCAGCACTTGTGTCGTTCATACATTGACATTGGTGTTCGTCTTTATCCACTACTTGTGTTCGTCTTCAACACAATGGACTTCTTTCAGAAGGACGTGCGTTCTGTTCAGCCCTTTTGTTCCCTACAAAGATTGTTGCATGGCCCCACTGGGAAAAATGTATTGTGGTGTGAGGAACAAAAACCAATCTGGTTCTCTTTGAAATTCTTTGAAAGCTTGATCGATTGCACTTGGGTTTAGGTAGTTTCGGTTGATGTATGATCTTTGTCTCAGGAAGATCGGAAATCCTCAACAGCGTATCTGCTTCGTTCACTAAGGCATTGACATCAAGAACGCAGAGACCTTTTTCAAAATGCTTGTGGAACTACAAGGTGAAGACACTATTGATGCGCACACATTCGCAAACGCATGCGTTCGAATGAAGGGAGCAGCAACAAGCATTGATTTGCAGACGGTCATGTTCACGACGCACTTGATGAACAAGGACTGGGAGCAGCATGTTGGGTTTGCCGGGGGGGTTTGCCGACGGTTGACCCAGCATGTTGAATGCAGAGAACGAAAGATAAACATGTCGCTTACAGGAAGGAAGACAGCAGACATAAGGTTGAGTGTGAAATGTATATCATGTAACTATAGAATATGCATGAAGAGGGTAAATCCAGAAGGACAGAAATTTCCTCTGCCTTTGACGGCATCTTGTGCCACCAGGAGCAACGAAGCGCTTTCCAGAACCTATTTGATCGTTTGGTACACATCGAGTCCGTAGTAAGTCCCGACCAGTTGGATTTTGACTACACCTCCGAAGACTCGAGCCGCTCGAGCCGCTCGAGCCGCTCGAGCCAGCTGCCAGCTACAGTAAGAGTCTAGCACCTGCTAGTGTTCTTTGAATGATCTCCCACAAAAGTGGAAAGATGTTTTTCCAGCTGGTTTGCTGCACTGTGAGGTTCATGAAAAAACTGATCAAGCAAGTCAAGCAAGTCTTTTGAATCTTTGACACATGTACAGAGAAGATCATTGAAGTCTACGGAGAGGAACAAGACCAGCTGGGTTCCGGAGAACCGGTGCCTTCGCTGCCAGCACATCAATGTAGGTTCCACCAACGCTTCCATTTTAATTGTTTTAATTCCGCGTCATCTGAAAACTATTGTGTGGTTTGAAGCTACGTTCTTTCAAATGTGCTGGCGCCAATTGTGTCTTTCAACAAACGACCTGATCTGGTTTCAAACAGGATGTGACCAAACGGGCCTACTGGTACCATGATTTTGAATGTGGTGCTTGTTACGTTGATTGTAAATGTGGAGAAAGGGCATCTTACCTTTACCCTATTTGCAGCGACATTTATTGCACAAGTAGAATCACCAGGTCGAATGTTTCGGTTGTGCGTATATTTAAGACTTTAGACCAACATTGGAAGGCCTCATAATGCAAAAAGTGTTTCCTGTCATGTCCTTTGCGGGTTGTTGTATTCAGTCAACGAGAAAGGATGCTTCAACAGAGAAATCAACGCGCTGCAGTACCTGCATCTTTATTTTCTTTATCACAACTCTTTTGAGTCAATTTAATGGTTTCAGAACCACGCAAACACATTCAAACAATTGGCATATGTTGGTGTTCATTTTGTTGGCGTTCACAAAAACGACCTGGGCTGTGCTGCGAAAGAAGGACTTCACGTACCATCATTTTCCTGCCATGAATTGTGCCATGCAACCTGGCAGGCTGGGAACTGTAGATCTTTCAGTATCGACATTTCCAAATTCTTTATACATAGTATGTGTTTTTGTGTTTTGATGTCAAGCGACAAGGTTGGCGTTCGCAACATGTTTCGGATTTTTGATGTTTTTTTTTGAACGGCGGTCATTCCTGCTTGAACCTGTGATGATGTGTTGCTTTCTGGTGGAACCGCATCCCATCGCCTATCCAACCCCCCTGGCACTTATTTTTTGCACTAAGACCATTTGCATTTTCAGAAGATCACGTATCATAGGGTATCATCCCTTGATAACTATGGATAACGATCATTTTAATCCCCCACTTTCAGCCAACCCAAATCCATTCTTCATTGGTTACCATCTGGTTACTTGTTACCTAGCCATGGAAGCCATCACCATGCTATTAAGAACGGTAAACCATCTATTTCTACGGGCCATCTATACCATGGCTATGTTATATAAATAAAAAGATGGTAAATGGTTAAAATCACCATTTTGCACCAATGTTGGACCTGCTGGCAATGCCTTTCTCGAAATTAGGGCGCCTTTTGAATGTCTGCATGGCATGGAGGACTCCAAGGATGGTGCATCTCCAAACTGAAGAAATTTTGTATGCCGAAAAAAAATGAGAAACATACAGAAACATACATTGAATAACATACCTAAACATGTAATACAAATACACATAAAATTAAATACAAGAAACATGCGTAATTTCGCAAAATACAGAAACATACATTGATAGCAAATTGATACGAAGATGACACAAATTGATACATTCAATTTATAAAGGTTGAATTTGCAATTCTACAATTGATAGCAAATTGAAGAATGGACACTACTGTATCGTCTGATGCTAGTGCATGTTGCTGGCACTGCATGGTTCTCACGAACTGATGTCAAATTTTAAAAGAACTCTCCATATTCAACCGAACTAGTTTGGACTTTGGCAAACATTTGGTTCTCGTCATTGGAACTTTCTTGGACAAAGATGGGACGGCCATTGTGTTGTTGTTCTCCGCCCGTTGCAGGACCTTTGAGCAGACAACACCACGCGCGGCTGGCTGTTGGGAGAAGTTCTGGCAACATGACTGGCTGTTTTTTTTGTATGAAAACGAACATACAAAGCTTCAGTCTAATGGTGAAAATGATGATTTCCAAAATGGATGTCCAGCCATTTGGAAAAGCCACATCTTAGCCTTTTGGTCTGGGCCCATCTTCTTGAAGTCCAGTGCACTTCCGACAGTTTCTTGGCGCGGCACAAAAAGACCGGTCTGTTCAGTCGACTTATTCAAGTAGGTTTTTTGTTATTTGATCATCAAGATCCATGTTTTTTCCGGGCGGACATTCTGAAGCTTGGGGGGAAAGACCTGCCCCAATTGCAATCAAGTGCAGCCTGCGCATGAAAGTTGGCAACGATGCTGCTGCAGGCCAAAGGGCAATCGAACATGTTCAAATTGGAGTTGAAATTTCGATACTGACAATCAATGAACATTTGAGATATGTTTAGATGTGTTGAGTAGAGAGTAGAGGCATTATCTTGCTTACATCAATCGTGGCATTTCTTGGGTGTTATCCGCTTGGCCTTTTGGGTTGTTTCAATGTCGTTGAGTCTCGCGTAGTTTGCCCATCACTCCACGTTTCTTCGGTTTCTTCGGTTTCTTCGAATGGATGTCGTTTGCCATCCTTGTGATGTTTTGCGCAGCTTGCGCAGCTGCACACCGAGAGAAAGGTGGCATTACAGCAATGGAGCTGAATCGACCACCAGATGGACTCGATGGAAGTGGTGATCCGAAGTGCCCCTGCATCGGTTTCAAAGGTGTGAAGGGCGAAGTCAATTTGACAGTGGGAGACACGGTGCTTCGTTATCCCGCTGAGACAGGGGGTTCTTGCCAGCCCTGGGATGACAACCAGCATCCTTTGTGTATGGAACAGCCCAAGGCCAAGTGGTGTTTGAAGGCTTGGTGCTATGTGGATCCATGCCACTGTATCTCTTTGGCTCCACCCAAGGTGTCTCATTACATGGAAGCCACTTACCAAAGCCATTCGATCTACTATTCCTATGAAACCTGTGGAGACGAAGACCACTACACATCAACCTTTGCTGAAGCATGTGTGAACCAGAAAGAGGACACCTGCAATGGCAAATGCTCATGGACTGGTAGTCAGTGTCTTGGCACGGAACTCGCAACGATGTGCCAAGATTAGTTCCACAAGGAGGCCCAACAAAGTGATGATGATGCAGCAGCGGGCCGGAGACTTTGGCACCAAACATGACCTTGGAAAACTGATGCCTCTGACATGCAAAGAGTGAAGAATGCTTCACTCTTGTCGTAGAATTTCCACACTTTGTCTGCAGAGTTTTGGGTTGAAAATTCTGCATTGCGAAACAAACAGTCCAAACAGTCAAGTCTTGTTCCCATGTTCATTAACAGTACTTTGACTAGTACTTTGCCCGTAGATTAGTTGAAAGTTGTTGATGACTTCGTTCTGCCCGGTTGTGCCTTTGCATGTCTCAAACGTTTGGCTCAGACGCCCAGCAAAAAGAGGAACACCTCCTGGCCATGAAGAGCACCTTCCAGGCTTGCGAGCCGAAAAATCTGCTGATTCCAGGGATTTTTAAAACATGTTTCTGGTTGGTGCTTTGGAACCATGGAATTTTATGACTTTTCATATATTGGGAATGTCATCATCCCAACTGACGAACTCCATCATTTTTCAGAGGGGTTCAAACCACCAACCAGGTTTGTTTGAGATATTTTTTGGGCGCTAGAGGATTTTGTGCGTTTGTGGATCTTTATGCCAAACAAAAACAATTGCTCTGCATGGACAGTCACAGCGACTAAGACCGGATGGGTTCCCACTCCATAACTAGCAGATCAAGTGCCCGATGATTACGGGAGGGTCCCTTCAACCAGATCCATTTCAGAATGTTGACAAGATCCAGAAGGCAGACGGGAAAAAGCAGGTTTTCACCTTGGGTGAACCTATACAGTTATGTTGTTGACACTGATATCCCTACCAATTGCAAGTTCTTTTCCTACTCTTTCCAAGGTTAAAACAGACAATTTTGGGCAGGTCTTGTCTCCATCTTTAAAGTGTTTCTACTCCCGACATTTCAGGTGAAACCCGAAATGGTAAATTTCCAAGCACAGGAAATCCTTTTCAAAACTGTTGGTGGTATTTGAAGATACTGCGCGGTGGTGAGGTACAGTGGAAATCTTTTGATGCTCATGTCAAAATGCTGTTTCATCTCGTTTCATCTCATACCCCAAATAACGCCCTTTTGGATCCTTTTGGCGCTTGCTTCCCCAAAACATGAAGGGATCCGCCAGCCAGGTGCTTTTTCCCTCCGCCTTTCGCATAGAACGGTCCACCGTTCTCAGGTCCATGATGCCTTCCAGGCGGCCGCGCGGCCGCTGTACTCGGTCGCTTGGCCCAAGGGATATGGGTTTACCATACCGCAATTCTTGGGGTGTAGCATATTTTCTGAAACCCGCAAATATCATGTTTTTTTTTGATGTTTTTTTGTTACATCTCTTGTTATATCCGATTTTATCCCAATATATCCACGTTCATAGTGCTGGTTTTCCTTGCCATTCTTACGTCCGAGGCGTGCAGAACGCGCGCCACCGAGCTGCATGCTCGGGATCCAAGGAACACGAAAGATGGGGATCGGGGTAATACCAAAAGATGGGAGTAATATCAGATCACTTACACCACATGAATTAAGATTTCATCAAGATTTGTCAGATTTGATCAAGATGTTTTTTTACTTTGGATGATTTTTTGATCAACGGCAATCGGTCTCCCATTTTTGCTGCTCTGCAGTGACTGGTTCGATCTCCCGGGTTCGGAACTTCTTAGCTCATGGAGATGTTTTTGAGGGTCCCCATCTTGATCACAAGCAGCTCTGTGCCGCAGGGACAGAGACGTGAGTCTTCCATTGTCACTTTAGATTCTTTAGATGCTGCAGGATGTCTGTTTTCTGACACCACAGGTCTGCGATATGCCAGAGCCGAGTTTTGCAGAACTCTCCGGAGGCGCGAGCCGAGTTTTTTTGGGACTCTAGCCAGGCCATCTGGAACCAAGGCGTGTGTTTTTTTGGGCCTTGGATGTTCTCTGAGTGTTCCAGTTGTAGGGATCTATACACTGATTTGGATAGATTATAGCGACGACTCCACGACGTCACTATGAATTGCGTTTTCGTGTGTGTAACTATCCCAAAATGGTCGAACTTTTCAGGTTGGTGAACCATTATAGTTTATCCAGATACATGGGATTGTAGCAATATAAATGGGGATTTATAGTAGATTTGTTGATTTATCCAGATCAACAGACAGCAGCATCCAGATCAGTTGCTGCCACTTCGACCTGGGTATTGTCTTCACCGCGACCCAGGACCTTACTACATTCTTGCGGGTATGCTGGATGCCAACAGCTTGTGGTGCTTCTGGCCATTTAACCCTTGTCATCAGCTCCATTACTGGGATGCCTGGATCGTAACCAGGAATTCAAAGTTCAAGCTGAAAACGTAGAGTCTGGATCCAATTTTTGATGTTTATCCGAGATTATCCGAGTTTATCCCTGCTAAAGTCTGGAGGTTTTTCATCACACAGAATGGACGACTCGGATCATTGGACCCCCAATGACCTGACCTGTCTCGTCTGCCAGCTCCATGGATGCAACCTGCAAATTGCCTGGAACCCGGTGGGATATGAAGGACCCGGACGTTGGCTTCTCACCAGACTGTTGAGTCTGAAACTTCTCCGCAGCTTTAGTTCAAACATGAGCTTTTTATGAAGCTGGATGATGCCTTTAAATGCCGTTGGAGGTTGTTGAGACAACTTGAGGCGTGATGGTTCCTGAGAAATCAAAGGACAGAAAAAAGACATGATTTTTTTATCAGACAATTCAACCAAAAGCAACAACTTGGAGGGGGCATCCCACTTTCTGAGTGGTTAATAAATGGGTTACCCAATTACACATGGGATAACTCCAGCAATTGGGGACACCAGCGGCTGTGTATCAGCGCTTCGCCACCGGGTCGCCGTTCGCCACAGCTTCGCCATAGCTTCGCCATGGTTAATGTTGCAGGCTGGGCAGTGGAGGTTTCAGCCATTTCAGCTGTGACCGGCTGTGACCAGGATGACGGTTGACTTGGATTCATCTCTGCCACGGAAGTTTCGGGATTTATTCAGCAATTTTGCACAAATCAGGAATTGTCCTTCATTATTCCATTCAATACAATCTATACAACTGAATTATCCTTACATCCTTACTTATTATTGGGAATAGATTGCATCTATAAACTCTATACATGGGTGTGTCTGGAAATTGGACACCAGAGGATGGTAAAATCATCAGGTTCCCGATTTTTCAGTGGCCATTCGGGGGTTACCACATTTTCAGACGCATCCAAAGTAATCATACATTGGTCCCATTATATCCCTACAATAGCACCATTATATATAATAATATGTATGTTTATATATTGTATATTATATATTATATATAATACAATGTATTTATATATATATAATATGATATGATATAATATAATATAACATAATATAATATGATATAATATAATATGATATAATATAATATGATATAATATAATATAATACAATATAATTTAATGTAGTATAATATAATATAATATAATATAATACAATAATATAATATAATATAATGTAATATAATATAATATATTATAATACAATTAAATATAATATAATATAATAAAATATAATATAATACATTAAAATATAATATAATATATTATAATACAATAACATATAAAATAATATTATAACAAAATATATAATATATACAGAATACGTACATACACACACACATATATATACATATATATATATACATATATACATAATACGTGTATATATATATAGACTGTATATATCCTCAGCTTTGGTACCCTCACTTTAGGAAACCTCCATATCTATACATTAAACTGCACACGTCGGATCGATTTGTCCAAGCAAAACAGCTCCGTTGAGGCTCGTGCCATGAGTCGGAAAGCTGAGAGTCACCCGTGGGGGATGGTTTTTCTAAGTCATTGGAACAAAGATGGGTGGATATAGCATGAGATAGCCTGGTGTCAATGAGACAGGTTGTGTGCAAGATGAGATGTGGATAATTGCCGGTTTTGCAAACCAAAAACTGGAACTCAACTATGAAAAACAGGATTTAACCTACTATAGTTCATGGAAATGGCTTTGTCCAAAAGTGAAGGATACCCCAACTTGCAATCTGAAAATTGTGAATTTCATGATAAACAATTGGACGACAAACCTTCATGAACTTGCCATAGGGTATCCCTAAATCCCTTGGTTAATCACCTTTTTTTCTATGAATTCATGGCCCTATTTTGATATACCCTCTGGTAAACTAACATAGCTATTGGAAATCACCATTTTTAATGGTAAATCACCTATAAATGGGCCATTTTCAATAGCTATGTTAAATTACCAGAGGGTATCCTTGAGCCCGGCTGAGGCAATGTCCGCGTTGCCGAGAAGCTTCCAGAGAAGCTCATTTTTGCAGGCGAATCCCGAGATTCCGCGGTCACTGGTTGAAGTATGGAAACCAAGGTGGTGCCCCAGTTCGAAATCGCTAAGTTGGTGCAAATTAACTCCCATTTCACTATGGTTTATGGCAGATATAACTATAGTATTCATGGGGTTTATAAACCAACGTTCACATCACTGGGGGGCCTCACAATGTAGGATCTGTTGGGATGGGTCACCCATCGAAGCGTGAACAGTGCATGGCTGCCATCCGTAATGAATTCGTTGAAAAAATGGCCACAGAAGATCAGAAGTTTACAAAGTTAGTGATGTGAAACGCGGCTGCAACAATCTCCATAATGTGGTACAGCCAATCATAAATCCCAAAAATCACCAATTTAAATGGACAACCATCATCCCCAAATGGTATGTTTATGGCATTGGGTTTCTCACATTAAGCCATAGCATCGACGACGTCAACGTGGACGCAGGGCGACCATGTGCTGGATCGGCTTTTGCGTTCCGGTCTCTTCCTGAGCGAATCAAGGTATGGAACTTGCTGGACTTGGAAAAGACAAGTGGAACTCACTCCCAAACATGTCCAACAAGCAAACTCTGACCAACTGACACCAACAAATTATATAAGTCGTATCTATATATTGTTATATTATATTCTATTATATTATGTTATATTATATTATATTAATTCATATTATATTATATTATATTGTATTATATTATATTATATCATATTATATTATATTATATTGTATTATATTATATTATATTATATCATATTATATTATATTAAGTCATATTATATTATATTATATTATGTTATATTATATTATATTATATTACTTTATATTTTATTAAGTTATATTATATTATATTATTTTATATTATATTATATTATTTTATATTATATTTTGTCATATTATATTATATTATATTATATTATTTTTATATTGTATCATGTTATATTATACTAAGTTATATTATATTAAGTTATATTATATGATATTATATGATATTATATGATATTATATGATATTATATTATATTATATTATATACTATACATATGTATATGATTATATATTTCAATTCCTTTAGTCCAGAAATCCTATTGTCATCATCATCCCTTTCGCTGCCCATCCCTTGGCGCCGGCGCTGTTAGGTGGTCTTTGAAGTCTACGTCCACGTTCTTCGAGGCTTCAGTCGAGAGGAGATCCTGGCAGAAGAGGACAAGCTTCCGACACAGATGGCACTCCTGGCTCGATTTTTGAGGTCCCTTTAAGAGCCCAGCCCATGCTGGAGCCCATTCTGATTTGCATCATATACATTCAGTAGATCATTCAGTGTAAATGATAAATCCCAAACTTACAGGCCCTCCGAATGACCTGCCAGTCCCGTTTCCTGGACTTCTCCGAGTTGATTTGCCGAGTTTGTTTAGCGCAAGTGATGGTGGCCACGTTTTTCTTCATGGCGCGCGCTGTCCTCCACAACAAGGCCTGGCCTTGGTGGGACCGGTGTAGGAAAGTGTTGTAAGTAAAATTGGGCTTAGCTTAGCTGTCTCAACTGTGGACCTTTCATAGACTCGATGTCACTGCATCAACTTTGCACATGTCATGTTCCAGCCAGTTGTAAGTTGGTGTATAAAGTTGAACACCCCACAAACACTAGGAATTACTAGGACTTACTACTTCCATATATCTACCATAAACTCCAGTGAAATATGAGTGAATTAAAGCAACATATCGCCAACTCTCCAGGTTCGTCAGGGCTGGAAACAGCTTTGTGGCACCTCTCCTCGGCAGTATGTGCCAGGGCTGTTGGTGTCTTTGGTGACGTCACCTGGACCTGGCGCTGGACCGCTGGACCTGGAGTGGAACCCCAATGACGTCATCAATGGTCATTAAAGATGGCCAGTAAACATGGGGAACGTGACCAACTTTGGATGATTTTGGGGGAAACGATGTTTGGACCACGATTTTTTTGGGGTAAACCCAGACGATGGGTGCAAAATCTTGGAACTATCGGGGCACAGATGAGGTGGGCCACTTTCGATGGATACTTCGCCGGAGACATGGGTTTGTCTGAAAAAGTGAGTACCCCAAAAGTATCACATCATTTTCCCACCGAAGTGTCCATGAACATGGGGTATACCTTATTTTCAGGCCCATATCCATTGTTCATGGGTTAGATCCCCATCTTTGACGGTTGGATCCTTATTCTTGACGGGTAAATCGCCATTATCATAGAATCTGGGCAAAGAGTTTCAGCCTCGGCTCTTCGGCTAACTTCGGTTCGCCCCTGACCAGGTTTAGCGTGGGACTATGGGGCTGCTTGATCGGTGATGAAGGGCTTCCGCTTTGGGCGTTGCTCTACAGTGTCTTGGCAGCGACAGATTGTAGGGTGATTGGATGAAATTTCCACCACTTAAAGATCCTAAAGCCGAAGTCAAGTGGATCCTTAGTGGTTCTTGATTGGTTTGGTGTGGGGCCCATTGGCCCATTGATCCATTCCGTCAGAATTTATATTCCTTTCAGGTCACATTTGCGACATCTTCTGCCATGCGATTGTTTCCTCTGCGCTTATGGGCTTGGGTGCCTCCGTGGCTGTTTAAGATGCACACTATGAGCAACTCTGAATGGAAAGAGTCGATTCATTAAATCTCAAGATCGCCCAAGCGTTGTCGCAAGAGTCTGAGGTTTGTTCGCTTTGGGCACAGAAACGCTTAAATCATTAATATAATATGAATATATACATATCTCATGTTGTCTTGTTTTGACAGGGACACGCATTTTCGGGCAGACCCAGTGCGTGATCCGCCAGGCTTTGATCTTCTGGTAGCGATATACAAGGCACAGCGATGCACATCGTGTTTCCAAGTGCCACTTAGCTTTTGCCGATGAAAAAAAAGATGCGCTGCATTCTGCCTGATCAGGGCAAGTTGATGGATTTTCTCAAGAAGTTTGTCAGATGCTTCCGCCTTGGAGGTAGAGAGGTGTGTCGATGGAACTGCTGGGATGAGCTGAGCTCGTGCCTTCTATCGATGTTGTCAGATCATACGGAAACAACTCGACATCTTGGTGCTTCTCATCCTCTTCTTATTTTCAGCATTGGTCAAAGCCAAAAAAAATCCAAGAAGGGGTAGATCTGGGGTTGTTCTCCCTTCATCTCCCGTTGATTTTGTTGAGGTGATGACACCATTGAGGCTCATGGTGTCTATGCTGAGGAGCCCTTAGGTGGGAGTAGCGGCCACCCCATTCTCCATCAGCGTAAATGGTGAGAAAATGGTGAGAAAATGGAGGTATATATGGGGATTTTGTGGGAATATAATGGAATATATATATATATAATGGGAATATTGATGAACTATCCAATCCCCCGATATCTATTTTAAACACCCCCTATATTGTAGCTGGGTCCCAATGATATGGAAATGTCCTACATCCGCCATATGGTTTCCTTTGGGGATGCTTCTAAGGCATGGATTAGTGATGTAGAACTTCATCCATTGGAAAAGCTGTTGAACTGGAAATTGAATGACATTGATGATTCGAAGTGGATATATGTTCATAGTGATACTGATATTTTTTCGGATGTCTTTTTCGATGTCATCAAGATGACCAGTGCCAAGTGGCTCACCTCAATTCCGAGATACCCTCTGGTAAATTAACATAGTTATGGAAAATCACCATCTATAGTAGGTAAATCACCTATAAATGGGCCATTTTCAATAGCTATGTAACAAATTACCAGAGGGTAAACAATTGGCTCACCATGGCCATCATGGCTCACCATGGCTACAGGTGAGATGCACGACTACAGCTTCCACGAAGCGAGTCCCAGCGTTGTTTCGGCCTCTCGAAGCGAGTCCAGGAAGTCGTCCTGTCGACTTCTCCGGCGAGCCTTGCAATGTAGCTGCTTGCCTTTCCAATTCATTGATGATAATAGGGGTTGATAGTATTAATAATGCTTAATAGTGGTTAATAATGTTAATAATGGTTAATAATGCTTGATAGTGGCTAATAATGGTTAATGGTTAATAACAATTAATGATGATCAACAAATATTAATCATTAATTGTTATTAACCATTATCAACCATTATTAATTGTTAAATTATGGCCTACATTGCGTTCCCATCGTCGCAATGTTTTGCCACAAGTCGAGTTCTCGTGGAGCCCTCGTGGAGTCCTCCAAGTCCTGCAGGTTTGATGTGGGCATCGTGGATCTTCATTTTCGTGTCCTACACACTGGCCTGGTGCAGACCTGACTTGGTGCCATGGCCCCTGTTGGGATTCTCTAGCTTTACAGGGTACAGTGAATGGCGTCAAAAATTGCTATTGATGAGATGTAATGACATCTTTGAATATGTTTAGATGTAACATGCAGGAATTTGACAGGGAGTCTTCAGTAATAAACCCCCTCTCCGCATGTGGCAATCCCGGGTTGACCTGGTAAACCTTGCTTGGACAGGTTAACAGCCGATTGCAACTTCAATTTATAGGGAAACTATTTCATACTCAGTTCAAAAAACAGCTTTTTTGCCGGGTATCGAGACTAGTAGTCGTATCGCTGCTAAGCACCATTCATCTTCCTCATTCTTGTTGGTGTTTTATACCCCATTGCATATCCTCATTTTCGCTAGATATTTTCATTTTTTGTTCAGCCTCTAGTCACGTGAACTGTGTGGACATGCATAAGACCATAGTGACTACAGTAGTCATTCACAACACAAGACGAATACAAAACAACATTAGAATACATTATATATAATTATATATATATATATTCCAAGCTTGCGTCATTTGTTCACATGAGTGATAAAATCCCCATGCATCACCTGATGTACACTCAAGAGCAATCTGGTCTCAAGATTCAGGGCCCGGTGAATGGTGGAGCCGTCGGTGTGGTGGGGGATCATCTTGGGATCTCACATCTTCAGATCCATTTTCTGGGAGAGTGACCGAGCTGAGTTGTCTGCCTTGCAATCTGACATTGCCACCTTAAGGGTGGAGGTGCACCGTGCTCGGGACCTGATTTCTGGCTACAACGAGGTGCTTGAGGCGTGTGAATCATCTGCATACTGGCTTAAGTGGGCTAATAGTTGTCTGTGCTGGTTGGTGATTTGTATCCTTTTGATATTGGTGTTTGGGGCCTGGTGGATTCAGCAGCTGAAGTGTGACAAGGGCGGCAAGTTTCTTAGTGTCAAAGAGGAGGCTACTGTTTCTCTGGAGGGAGATCGTCAGGCAGTTGCTGTAATCCCGGGCCGCGTTGGGCCTGCCAAGCCATCTACATTTGGAAAGGGTAAGCCGTGATGGAAAGAACCCTCACCATCTCGGAACCACAGGTCCTCCTCCATTTTCCAAATGATGGGGGGGGCCTGTTCCATCACCATAGAGTTTGCCTGCACAAGATTGGCGGGGGTCAATGGGTCCTTTTGACTCCGGACCTTGACTTAGAGGTCGTGGACTTGAGCACAGCCAGACACCGTGTGCTCGCCCGCCATGCGCCATTCCCTGGAGACATCATTGACGAGTGCTACATTTTTGATGATCTGTCGAAAGCTGAGTTGGAAAGACAGCGTAGATTGGCTAAGACCATGGGTGCTATCTTAGATGATTCGGCTGATGTCAATGTGGACAGACAGGTGTGGATCGTTGCTGACCCATCTTCAAAACGGTTTGGAGAGCAGATCCCAGATGACAGTGTTGGGGATGTGGTTAGTTTGGGACAGTTCGGTGTTGTTCAATGGGATGGTGAGACTGATTTTGTGCGGGAAATGGGGGCCGATGCAGTGGCAGAGTTCAAAGAGAAGCGCAAAGAATCCCTGGGAGATGCCAGACTCTTAGGTGACCATCGAGATCCACAAGGCAAACGCTTCCTTGGACTGAATGATGCATTAGCCCTTATGACTCAAGACAAGTTCGATGACTGGGCGTTCACTGGGCCAAGATCAGTGCTTGAGTATCTCCAAGCGATCCGTGATGGGCCAGGGGATTTGGCCAGCTACCATTTGGGGTGGGTTAGGAGCAGTGGGGTCTCCGCTGCATCTGCCATTGCCCATGAGCATCGGTCGTTGGTTGAAACCTTGAGGCTGGCCATTAGTCGTGATCAGCTGGATGTTAGTAACCTTTGCAGTTTTGAGAACATCTGTCGCCGGTTGCTGACGCTCGAAATGGCTGTGGCACGGAACAGTGCCGCACCAGACTTCACTGGTCTTGAGGTCATCAGTGAGGCGCCGATTTCCAGTCAGGGTCAAGCCTATGTATCGAACATGGCCACTTGGGTCACCGACAGGCTCAAGGAGAAGGCCCAGATCCAGAAGCAGTCTCGATTGTTCCGCGAGGAGTTCAACCGAGGTGGACGCAAGCAAGGTGAGGATGAAGAGACTGCTGGTGGTGGCAAAAGATGGAAGTACAAGAAGAAGACCAAGACTGACGGTGGTGGGGGGCCTGCCTCCACCACCGGCGCATGACTGCGCCTTCCCGCCAGCGTGACTCCCTGCACCTCGGGGGTCATGATCATGCTGGCCATCAGGGGTGCGTTGATCGCCTTCGTGAGCAAAGAAGGCATGGTGACCCTTTCCCTTTGAATGCTGAGGCTGTGAGGGATTTTTGTAGGGATGCCAACGTTTTTGAACCTCGGCGAGCTCAATGGATCTGCAACAGCCTGAACCGTCTCGCCTCGCATGATGCAAATTCGCAACATTTTCCAGTTTTGAGCTCAGACCGGACGTCAAATGTAGTTCAGGAGTTTGTTACAGATAGGATCTGCGAATCACTTAGGATGAGCGGTTTGCCTCCTGCTGACACCTCCCCTGAGAGTGCTCTCAGGGAACTACAGACGGCGGAAATCTCCTATGACGGAACGCCCAACAATCTTGCTGCATATGATCCTGATAAGCTTAAAGTGCTGAAGTCCCAGATAAAGCCTAAGAAGATTGTTCGATTTTTGCCCCCAGAAGCTGCCAAGCTTGTTGAGCATTTCGAGAGCCAGATTCTTTTGCCTGAGGCGGCTGAGAGCGAAGCCTTTCAGCCGTATTGGGATCCAGCACTTAGGTTTGATCCAAAACGCCGACTTGATTTCATCTTGAAGCTGCATCGGGTTGGCCTCGTCAGTTTGCGTAGGACACCTCGTAGCTTCATCGGTGCATTCTTTGTTAAGAAGAAAGACCCTAATGCCATTAGGATGGTTCTGGATTGCCGGGGAACCAACCGGCTGCATCAATCTCCCCCTGTGACCCGATTAGGATCTGCTAGATGTTACGGGGATTTAGACTTAGAAAATTTGGGGCCCGGGGAAGGTTGGGGCATTGAGGCTGATGTCAATGACGCCTTCTATAACTTTGCCATCCCCGAGCTCACCCATTATTTTGCTTTGAATCACCCCCTCACTCGTGCACAATGGGAATCTTGTGGGGTTGATGCTGCATCCGTGTTTGACCCTAACACTAGAGGTTATAGTAAGGTTGATCCTGATTGTTTCCTGTATCCTTGCATTGAAGCGGTCCCCATGGGTTGGTCTTGGGCGCTTTTTCTCTGCAACGAAGCAGTTCTGACAATTTCCAGATCCTTTAGTCCTTGGAATGATGGAGTTTTTAGAGAAAAGAAAAGTACCCCCCAGCTGTGTGATTATTCCACCTGCCTTGGCGTATACGTAGACAATATCACGATTGTTGGCAGGTCCAAAGAACATGTCGCGCAGCGTGCCCAGGCGTTGGAAGCTGCATTCAAGCAAGCCGATATACCGATCACGTGGACCCAGTCCGAGCCAGTGCAATCCTTAGAGAGTGTTGGGTGTGTTCTCGACTTCTCCAAGAAGCGACTGTGTAACAAACCCAAACGGCTTTGGAAGTTTTACTTTGCCACCCTTGGGCTTCTTAGACGGAATAAGCTGCATGGCCGTGTGTTGCAGGTTTGGGCGGGGCACTACACTTCCCTTTGTAGTCACACACCATGGGGTCTGTCGGTTTTGCAGCATCTGTATCGCTTTATTGAAATCAGTCAGCATAAACGTGTTCGTGTTTGGCCATGTGTTCGCCATGAGCTCAAGATGGCCTGTTCACTAATCTGGATGACATGGCGGGAACTAGGGGCGTCATATTGTCGGCTGGTCGATGTTGGGGACTCGTCCAGCTCGGGGTATGCCATGATGACTTGTGACCCTGGTAAACCCCGCATCAAAGCTGCCATGTCTGTGCATGAGAAATGGCGGTTCATCCCCATGCCTGAAACTTTGAAACAGGCTGCCCGGGATCACGATGCCCAACGTTTTTCGGACGCTCTCGCTGACTTGCAACAGTTGAGTCACCAATGCAGTGAGCCATTCGTTAAACCAGCATTCCACGATTCGCAGTATGCCCAGTGGGTGGTTGACTCATTTAAGCAGGGTAGCTGGTTAGCAACTTCTGCCATTAGGTCCCAACTGCGAGCTAAGCCCCATAAGAGAGTTGATGTTGATATCCCCTCCTTAGTTGAACCTGTAGACCCATTCTTTGCAGACCCCTCGAACTTCAGGTTGCTGTGGGCCAGAAGATGGAGAGATGTGTCCGAGCACATCAATCAGAAGGAATGCCGTGTTGCCGTGTCGTCGCTGCGCAGGGCTTCAAGGGTTAGGGAGATCATGGGATGTCGTAAGTTAACCCTCAGAGTGATAACTTGGCTACGGTTAGTTGCTTATCTAAGGGTAGATCTTCCAGCTTTAAGATGAACCGGCTATGCCAGACGGCAGCTGCCATCCAGTTTGGATGTGGCATCACTTGTCACATCCGACACGTTGAAACCAAGAGAAATGTGGCAGATGAGCCGAGCCGAATCCCAGAACGTAGGCATCGGGGAGTGAGGTTGCAACCACCTAGGGTCGAGGTGCCAGCCAGCAGTGGGCGATCCACGCCTAGCCATTCGAGCAAGCAGGCTGACATACCGACTCATGTTGATGCAATTCCCTCCAGTGCTTGTAAGTTTTTCCTTGAACTGTTTGCAGGATCGGCAAATCTCACACATGCGGTGGCACAACACAATATACCATGCCTTGAACCGATTGAGATCAAGAATGGTGTTCATTGTGACCTCCGTCGCAGAAAGACGCAAAGACTCATCATCAAGTGGATTGAAAAAGGAATCATAGGTTTTGTTCACCTTGGAACACCTTGCAAAATCTGGTCATGGGCCCGCAGAGGAGTCCGAGATTCACCAGCCACCTATGCCAAAGAGGCGGCTGGAGTTGAACTTGCTCTCTTCTCGGCCGAAGTAATCCGGACCTGCAATAAGTTTCAGATTCCTTATGCGATCGAAAACCCAGCCTCATCAAAATTGTTTTCTTTCATACCACTTGTTAAGGCTATAGCGACTGGTGTGTCATATACAGTAACTTTTGATATGTGTAGCTATGGGGAAGCTTTCAAAAAAAAACACCAAAATGATAACCTCATGCTTTAGCCTCCAGCAGCTGGAGAAGCACTGCGCGCACCGCAGGCATGCAGTCTGGCTCAAAGGACGAGTGAGGGCAGAGGCTGGCCCTAATGCTGGTAAATATGTTAATAAAACAGAACTTGCAGGTGTTTACCCAGAACAGCTTTGTCAAACATACGCATGCGTGCTTAGTAACCTGAGAGTTGCCCATGGTGATCCAGCGGCGTGCAGAGTTGTCCAAGACTGTTGGGGAACTGCGCTCAGGGGTCTTGTCCCGAAACAGGGCAAGCAAACCTTTGCACGTGAACCGTCCTCAAAAGCTGTCAAGACTCGGGGTGGTGAAGAGGAGTGTTGCTCAGCAGACATGTGCAACCTCCTCAAGCAGCAGGGGGGGCTCACAACCTTCCTCGATGCAATCGCCCTTGGTAGAAATCAAAAAGAAGCCTGGAAGGCGCTCCAGAACAAAGACCAGCGCCACAGAGAAGGACTCTAGATTTCAGAAGATCCTGGCTTCTGTCCGTCCTGAACGGCGGCTTCGAGTCAGAAGAATTCGCACTTGCACAGTTCTTAGATATGCAGAGTCAGTAGATGAATTTCTTGCTTGGTGCAAACAGAAGCGTAGGAGCTGTAAGACTGAGAAACTGGCTGATCGTTCGATGAGCATCTTTTTTGATGAACTTTTCGAAGATGGTGCTGCTATGACAGTTGCTAGTTACACACTCTTTGGATACCTACTGCTTAAGCTGGTGCCCTCAGTGCCTGAGAGACAATGCCTGCCCTTATCCCGCGCCAGCCTGGGTGCTTGGAGATCCAATCGGGCTGGCAGCTCACGGGTTGGAATGGTGCCCCAGGTGATTTATCACTTTGCTGACTTTTGTGCCGTACTCGGTGAAATCCAGGCTAGCCTTGCGGTGCTGGTTCAATATGATTTGTTTGCGCGACCCTCGGAAAGCCTAGGTATGAAGTTTGGTGATATCGTCAAAGCTGTCCAGGCGTTTGGAACCCCATATGGAGTGCTCTTTGGAAATGCAGACTTTGGCTCAGTGACTAAGACTGGCGCAACGGATGATGTGGTTTTGGCGGACTCACCACATCGTCCTTGGTGCAATGATCTCCTTAAGTTTTTGTACCGCTGCATGACTGAACCACAAGCTTCGGTTTTTTCACTTAGCCTGCATCAGTATGAAGAACTCTTCAGACGGTTTTCAAAACAGTTTGGGATACGGTCCGGCCTGTTCACACCACATGTGATCCGGCATTCTGGTCCATCCTTTGATATCATTCACCAACATCGCACCTTTGAAACAATACAGACACGAGGGCGTTGGACTGCAACTCAGTCAGTGAACCGATATCGAAAGCCTGGCCGCTTGTTGATGGAAGCTTCTAGGTTGCCCAGATTCTTTGATAAATATACAGAAGAGCCACTTCACCGGGCTCTGTCAAGTATCTTGAGAAGTAGATGGGCTGACGCCAGAACCCTTTAGTGCTTGGGGGTGATGGAGTGGATCACTTCATTGCCTTTGCGATGTACCAATGAATCTCAGTGGATCACCTTTTGTTGAGACAAGCCTGTGCCACTTCGAATGGATGCTAGCATTCCTGTGTGTTCGTTGGATGACTGACACCTTCACTGAGCAGAACAAAACAGACCGCTGTCCGTGGTATGCTTGTATGGATCCTGGGATGGTGGAACGAAGAGTGAATCAATTCCAAGCTTGCGTCATTTGTTCACATGAGTGATAAAATCCCCATGCATCACCTGATGTACACTCAAGAGCAACCCGCCACCCCCACCGCGCTCTTGGTGGAGTGGATCACTTCATTGCCTTTGCGATGTACCAATGAATCTCAGTGGATCACCTTTTGTTGAGTGGATCACTTCATTGCCTTTGCGATGTACCAATGAATCTCAGTGGATCACCTTTTGTTGTGACAAGCCTGTGCCACTTCGAATGGATGCTAGCATTCCTGTGTGTGCGTTGGATGACTGACACCTTCAATGAGCAGAACAAAACAGACCGCTGTCCGTGGTATGCTTGTATGGATCCTGGGATGGTGGAACGAAGAGTGAATCAACATATGTATATAATGCATACATTTTTACATAATTATATATATATACATACATTTAATGATACAGATACACACATATATATATATGCATATTGGATATATATATATATTCACCAACAAGCTGGTGGGATATGGACCCCCAAACATGAGCTTTCCTGAGGCACCTCAATGGATGCAGACCATGGTGGACTTCATCGGCCGATTCTGTTGGGCGGGGATTACCTTTTGGATCGTGAGTTCAATCGCCAGCATCGGTCCCTGAGCGGAGTTGGGGCTGGGGAGCTGGTGATGACTATCCGAAATGGCTGGCAGCGACACACAAATGATGCCAAATGGGTATAACATGTATCTATGTAATAATTTAATAGTTTACGATTAATGTACCTATGAGGCACTAGAATGTGTGTACCCAGAGAGGCAAATAGTTTTAACGGAAGTCTGTACTTTGATTTACCCTCATATGATAGAACTGTGTTTCATGGTTTATCCGGCTTGGTCGGGCCGGTGTGAGCATGTGTACCTCAGGTATGAATGATTCCACTGTGTCCAATGAGGGGCATTTCCCTGGAACGAGGTGCCAGCACGAGTTCTTCCTGCCAAAAATGATGAGGGACAATGTCTATGGACTAAACCCTATATAATCTATATAATATATAACATATATAAAGTTATTCCCTAAAATGTCCATGGTTTCTTTCCATTTTCCATCTGGACAATGTTTATTTGAAATGACACCTGAAGTCTCCGGTCTCGCTCCAGACCGGCCACCATGGATGTGATCGAGGTGCGGGTCGCCCTGAAAAATCATGGGAATTTCCCCATGAAATCCCAATGGCATCAATAAAGATGATCGGCACAAAAAAACATGGCAAAGCATCAGTTTTCCAAATGGCCATTTTTGGTTTTCATGTGGTTAAAACAAAGTTTTTTTTTTTTTAACCACCACTGGGAATGGTAGTCACATACCACCTATAAAAATGGTGATGACTGGGGGATGGTTTATGACATTGTTCTAACCGCATTTAAATAGATAAATGATACTATATTAAATTATTAGTGACATTAATAGATTTTAAGTCATCATATTTTCGTATCATCTATAATGGTGAACGATTGGTGATCATCCAGTTTAATGATACTAATTGGCTATAGTGATTTTACTATATAGTGACAATCCTATTGGTAAAATCACTATAGCCAATTAGTATCATTAAATAGTGATGATATAGTAAATAGTGATATTGTCACCAATAGTGATTTTACTATATAGTAACCATCAAATTTATATATTGGTGATAATCCTCATATCACATCGAAAAAAATGCTTCAGATGTCCAGGCCATGGGTATGGCGTCTCTGGAACGCTGCCAGGCCGGGCGGTGTTTTTTTTAGCAGCGGCCAAAGTGTGTCTTGCGTTGGTTGCTGAGGACTGTGAAGAAACCCTGGCAGCAGCCACGTCCCTCGGAAGCAACCGCAACTTTCAACAGAAAACTGCAGATGTTGAGGTTTTGGATCATGGTTCCTGTGGGGTTGTCTGAACTTTTTGGTGAACAACTACCCAAATTTGATGGTTAAGAACCTCATTTTGCCATATTTTGCCCATAGAACTGGACATTTGAGGGGTAAACTGGACATTTTGAGGCATACACCACATTTTCAGACCCATCTCCATAAATCTTGGGATGATCCTGAATTTTTCTGCAGCATGTTGTTTAGCTGTTGCAAGTAGCATCCGGCTGGAGGATCATCCCATCGTAGCTGGGTCGTAACCATGGTGGGTGGACTTTAACTCACACCACGGCGGCCCACGGGGGTGAGGTTCACCACGATCCCCGGGGTGATCGGGTGATCCCCCAAGTCCTACAAAAAAAACCACCTCAGGTTGTCGCCGCTACGCTGACCTCCTTGACGGCCGCTACGGATGTACAGACTTGGCCGCTTTGTTTTAATTACTTAGACCTTAATTAGACTTAATTGTCGCCATTGTGGCTGCTTGACTTTACTTAGACCTAGGAGGCAAGGATTCAACTTTGGCTTCTTTGAGTGCATGCATTTGGAGCTTCGCTTCCCTCAATAAGAGACGCGCGATTGAATGGTTTGGCAAGTCCTGCTACCTTGAGATGATGTTTGCCTGGTAGGGGCCAGACACTTTTACAGGATTTCCTTTGGCTTTGGCCGCATGATATAACAAGACAGAGTAGCATTGCAGTTATTTTTCCAGTCTTTCACAGCTCCAGGGGCAATCGGTGGTTGGATGGTCAGAGGTTCAGTCTCTTCTTTCGCTGCCAGACGGAGGGATCCAATGGAACATTTTTAGGACCAGTGTGATAATGTTTAATCAAAATCACCATCTGGCGATTCAACATGGCAAAGCCATAGACCATGAAGGTTTCGATGATTTACGTGTGAAGTTGGTGATTTTTCATCATCAACTGTTAAATCACATAGACGAAGTGTGCGAAAAGGTTCAGCTCTTTGGCTAGGTTTCCCTTTGGCGTCTCTTTGGCTATGTTTTGCAGTCAGGAGCCACCTGCGATTGGTTTATTTCTGTTCGCCCAAAGGGCGCAGAAACTTCCCCTGCAACATGGATGGACTTGCGCAGGGATCATCCATGCTGTCCATAATGTATCTTTCTCATCTTTGAGAAATGCTTGAGCGGACTGTTCACAAGAGATTCTTCACACAATTCAATGTGGATTATGACAGATATGATCTACATGTGCTCGAACGATAGATTTTATCGGTCACTCAGTGATCATTCGTATTGATGGGATCTTTGCGAATGGATAGCTTATTGTACTGGTACTCCACAGTGAATCAGTCCCCAGAAAGCAGAGGGGTGAACTGGACCCATCTTCGCGTCCTGCGCGATCAGTTTGGAGGTCCAAAAAGCGGGCGCAGTTGCGCAAAAGTTCAGACCCATCTGTTTGAATCGAGTAAAGCCAATGCAATCAAAGATGGCGACAATTCCCGATTTTTTGGGGTGTTTTTCCCATTAAAACACGATTTTTCTCATTCAAACACATTTTTTTTGGAGGATTTTGAACATTGCCATGTTAGGCTCCGACAGTTGAGTCGAACCAACCTGGGACCTTGGCGTGCCCTGGGCAGCCGAGTAGGGGAAACCCGGCCGTGGGGAGGAAGCCGAGGTAGCGATAAACAGCGACCACGACTGGGGATGGTTGGGTTGCCATGAATTCATGGTGAATTGGGGGGAATTTATGGGAATTTTACATGATTTCTGGTGAAATTGTTTGGCAGATTCAGAATCTTCCAACGACATTTCAGTGAAGTCCGAGATCGAAGTTACTGTTGAAATCACCTGGGCTGTTGCGTTTTCTGTGACTGCCCTCCCTTTAGGCTTTCCATGGTGTTGAATTGGAGCGTGAGGGAACCTTCGACCAGCCGGTGAGGGGGCCTAGGGTGCTGATCTCACTGGATCTTGGATCGACGATGGGCGCGCAACGGCGCTTGGTTTCCTACAAAGTGGGGCCCCCGTTCGATAGCTAAGTTGGGCCAAATAACTACAATTTCACGTTTGGGTTTATGGTAGTTATAGCTACAATAACTATAGTTAGATTGGGTTTGGTAACCAACAAACATAACGTTTTTTTTGGGCCCCACCTTGGTTTCCCAGACTTTGATTCCTTGGTGGGTCCGAAAAGGGGTCCATTCCTGGGTCCCACGACCTCAGGACCCAAATGCAGAACAAGGACAGTGCAGCAGGCCAGACTTTCCCAAATGTCGTTTAGGACTAGTCAGAGGTGACATGGAACCCGATTTTTACTGTGCTTTATCAGCATTTTTTTCACTGAAAGGGTCATTTTGAAAAATTAGGGTGGAGATCCCATTCTTTGACAAACCATTATCCACTATAGATCATTGTAGTTCATTATATATATATATAAATATCTATATATTCATTGGTCCAGTCCCATTCTTATTATCACCACTTTTTGGCCACTTGAATCTCCGTTCTTCCAGGAAAATTTCGGCCTGGCGCAGGTTAAAGAAGAGCCGTGTGGATTGGAAGGTCCGCTACCACCACTTCAAGCACAGTGCAGGGCGCTGAGAACTGCACTGATCTCTGTGGATCCCTGGAGGCCATCCATGGAGCTCCACCGTCACGGCGCCGGTGCTCAGGTGCCAACGTTTTGTTCACCCTTTAGCGGCCGGGAGATCACATCCGTGGCACATCCTGATGAGGCCGCGGAATAGGTGCAGACTCGCAACTGAACTGGAACTGGTATTTAAAAATCCATAGAATTTTCATGAATCATTTACTTGATACACTATCATTCAATATTGATTCAATGATGTTTTCACAAACCCAGAAAAAAATCGACCAATGTCTATGAACTCCCCACTAAATCCCCCATGATATTTCCATGAACTGCGGCGCAGGTTGCCTACCTCCGGTGCCGGCTTTGTACAGACGTCGTCGCTGAAGGCTGCAGCCAAGGAGTCTACCTGGAGGTGAGGAGTGAAACTGGGAGTTTCTGGGCGATTTGTTTCGCCATTTGAGCCAGCATACGTCAATTCAAACAGCAAAAACTGGGGATGAGACCAGCATCAAACATAGAGCTTTAAAGAAAGTGGGATTTCACCAATGTTGGAATGCCACTCAAACGGCCTTTTTTTGGGACAACTGATTGAATGGATTCGGGGACTTGCAAATTACGTTGCAAACCATGATTTTTTTTATACCGGTGAAATGGAGCGTATCCGGTATATCATATGCCCAGTTGCAAGTGCTAGGGGCCCATCCTTGTAGCACTAGGAAATGTCAGCATTAGTTTGGGAACAGCATCTACATATTTGGATGGTGCTGTTGTCAATGCACATATATATATACATATATATATATACATATACATTGTATATAGGTCTATAGGCATGGATAGACACACACATACACACACATACACACATAGATATATATATATATACATATACACACACACTGTATGTACGTACGTACATACAAACATAATCTAAACATAATATACATATCATCATGTCCTGTCCCTCTTTGAGAAGATTTCCATTGCGCCAGGTGGAGGTCGCAAGCAACTCGGATAACCTCAGCATGGCTGTGGTTGACTTCGAGGCGCCGATGATATGATGACAATGGGGATATTAAACACTTGCGAACATGGTATTAAACAATGGTATATATTACAATGGGGATATTTTTTCAGTTATCAATTCCATAATTAAAGTCAAAAGAAACCTGAAAGTATTGGGGAAAAACCCATATCAATCCCATGGTTTAGAACAGAATTTCCCTCAGCTTGGGATGAAGTAAATCATTTGCCAAACGAGAAACCATGGGTTTCCATGGTTTTCCATGTTTTCTATGTTAACTTACTGGAAGGTATTACGTTTTTTTTTTTCCATGTTCTACTATGTTCTACTATGTTTTACTATGTTTCCCAGATCTATAAACGTCTCCATCCTACGTGTTTCATTTGCGGCCCCGGTTTCGACATGTTTCGAACAGGCCGGCGGTTGCAGCAGTGTCACCTTCAGCCGCTTGCCAGAAACAACTACCATGACTGGGGATGGTTGCTACATCCCATCCATAGAAATAGTGGTGATGACTTCGGGATGGTTTATGGCATTGGGTTTACCACATTAAACATACATAATATATATATATACACATGAATGTATACACATGTATACATACATATATATTCCTATGGGACGCAACAAATGAACGTCAAAAATCAGAATCTATCAACTTCAATTGCTCTGAAAGGTTTGAATCTTGCAAATGAACTTTGTTTTTATATTCCAGAAGACATGTTCAATGAAGTTCAACGAAAGTTCAACGGAGTTTAAACAGTGGACGTCTTGACGGACCAAGGTCCAGACACAGGCGCCGTCATCCGGGAACGTAAGGTAAGGGAAGCTCCGCGGAAGGCCTGGGGTCTCGGCACGACAAGCTGCTGATTTTTGGATTTTGGGTCCCCGATTTTTGCAAAGCCTAAAAAATGACTGAAGCTGAACCAATTACACGGAAAAAAAATCGAAAATTGGGGCAGTTTCCTGTGAATCTGGGGATTTGAAACATTGGATCCATGGGACTCGATTGAGGTCGAGGGCGCTTATATCCAGCCTCTGCCCACTGCTTGGCACTCAGAGTTCTACGGCGATTCCGCAAGGACTCGAAGCTCACGGTCCCATGGTCCCATGGTCCCATGGTCCCATGGTCCCATGGTCCCAGGTCACGACCGGCCGGCCCTTCCATGGGCTGATGGGTGGGAGAGCCCAGTTACCAAATCTAAGGCATATCTTATCCCAAGATTGGGCAGTTACTCCCAATAGATGTCAGAGATAGGAGACATCCTATCCCAAGATAGTGGTAAAACACAATTTTATCCCAACAATAATAGACATCGTGAGGGCAGGGTACCGTTGCGAAGCTTGAACTGAATCCCAGAAGAAATCCGTGGTGAAGCTGGGAGCAACACTATCCAGCCACAGGTCTCTACCTCTACCAAGACCGCCTGGCATTTTTCAGGAGGCACAGCGTTCGAGCTTGGCCTTGTTTCCACCTGACACTATGGCGCAGTTGCCAAACCACAATCAAGTTCGACTTGGGAATCTCAACCATCTACCGGTTGATGAATTAAAACTGATGTGAACCATTGAGAGAACATCATTGGTGTATCATCTTCCAAAACCCCTAGCAATGATCACAGGTGCGAGCTGCCGGCCACAGGCGAGCGATCACTTTCTTTTCGAGCATATGTTGGCATATGTTGGCCATTTGCCCTAGGGCATACCGATGTGGAAAACTGGAAAAGCCATGGCTTCTGGGTTTTCCACATCTTTTTGGATGTTAACACAAGGGATTCTCTGAACTGGGTTGAGAAAGAAGTCAATAATTTCATAAATCAAGAATTATCATTTGTGTGTATATATATATATATACACACTATGTGATGTGAGTATAGGTAGATATTTTTTCATGTACAGCTCATATATTTTCGAAAACGTGACCAACCTTCCACATCTTCGTTTTTGACTTCGGGAAGCTGCGGGGGTGAGGCCTAGACAGAGAGGCAAACCCCATGCAGCTGCAGTGGAGCTCTCAGCTCACTAAATGTGAACAACATTGGATTTGAATGGTTAATAATGGTTAATAATGGTTAATAATGGTTAATAATGGTTAATAATGGTTAATAATGGTTAATAATCAGTTAATAATGGTTTATGATGGTTCATGATCATTAATAGTGATTACTAGTGGTTAACAATGATTTTATTGATGTTGGTAAAGCAATGTCATCAACCACCCACATGGTTTATACCACCCATTGTAGAATTGATGATGTTTTTTTTTGCCTTAACCACATTATATCCCCATGACATATCCGATATCTCCATCATATCCCCATCTCTGAGGACGCCAGGCATGGCTCAAGGACGGGGATTTGATGCCCTATCCATTTCTGGGGAGGAACTAAGGATGGAAACAGGGGACTGCACTATCCATTTTTTTTTTCTTTTGAGGTGATGTTTTTGTAGAAGAGAACATATTCATCAATTTTTCACATATTCATCAACAATGGATCAGTATATAGTTATGTGAGTTAGTGGTCTCTTGATGACGTGGTATTAAACCTAACCATAACTGATTTCCTAATGAAGATGTTGGGTCTACTAACAAAATCTTCATGAAGATGTGCTATTAAACCTAACCACTTGTTATGTCCGCATACTAAGGCCCAACTAACATGACTAGTCCAGTATGTTCCAGTATTCAACCATGGTTGGAAAATTACCCGATTTACTTCGATGCCCCATTGAAAGCTCCATGATTTTACCATCCATATTTTCATCATTTTCATCCATGTATTAATCGGTTTAATCGCTTTAATCATCATGATTCCCCATGGGTTTAAACCTCCATTGATAGATGACTTTCCCAGCTATAAACTTCCAGGAAACACAGGATTTTCCATTGCAATGTCTAAGTACCACAGGATTTTCCACGACAGATCCGGATCAGGATGCCATTTGGGCCCCTGGGAGACGACGGGTTTCGTGTCTGACCTTGACTGGGCTGAGGCGGCTTTTTCATGGCGAGTCCGCGTGACGCTGTGTTGGGGTACCATCTTTTTTTCAAAAGATGTGAATCATTGGGATTTAATGAGGAAATAGTGAGGAAAATGGTGATGGGAGATGGGAAAATGGTGAGATACTGGGATTCAATGGATTTAAATGGGAGAATAGTGGGGAAATAGTGATCATGACCATCTATTATGGGGATTTAAATGGGAAAATAGTTTAAAATAGTAATATATTTGGACTATAATAGTATTATAGTATGGCAATCATAACTATTAACCCAACTACAAGGTGGTGCCCCAGTTTGTTTGATAAATTGGTTTATTTCACTAGGTCAATTCTATGGTTTATTGTAGATATATCGAACTAGTTAATGGGGTGAAACATATAAACAGATTAAAAGCGTATCAAAGATTATCAACCCAGCTTCGGGGGTTATAAATGGGATAAAGTAGCAATATCCCAGTTTTTTGGCCATACACGGGGATTCAATAATATTGTCTATAGTACTCAGCTTCTTTTCCAAACTGATATTTTCAGATTAGCCAGGTGTATTGAGAAATCAACAACAAGGGAGGAGGGATGAGTGAATACCTATGGGACAGTTGGAATGGAGGGATGAACAAGACGGTAGGGGGTACCAGGCGCTTTCGACCAATAACACACACACAATAGTATATATATATATATATATACATATGTGTATATATATATACATATGTGTATATATATATGAACTGTGTATATATATATACATACACTTATAATCAATTGCAGAACTCAGATTAATGTAGTGAACATCGGATGACTGTTACTGTACTGTTGATAGATCTTCTGCATTTTTTAATAGATATTATCCCCATTTTACTTAGTGACTATCTTCAAAAATCCAACAAAGCTGGATATTTTCAGCAACTAATTGGGATATCATGGGAATTTCTAATCGCGATAAACTGGAATTATATCACCAACGAATGTGATATTTGGCTAAACAACTAACATCGATATACATGTATATATATATACATCCTTAGCCAACCAACTGTATTTCACCAACTAAGTATACTATAGTTAGCAGCTAGCACATATAATTACATATATATATATATACAGATAAATATACATCTATCTGGCTTAAAAAAAATGACCTCACTGCGACTGAGCCCTGGAAGATTGGTCGGACTGGGGGAATCATCCCGGGCCGACATCCCCAGGGCCGACGCTTGACGCCCTGCCTGGCCTTTCGCGATGAGGGCGCTTACCGAGTGACCTTGATGATGGACATCCACATTGTTTCACGTGTTGAAACACTGGGGATTTCCTATATCGTTTCAATGTTTTTTTCTGCTGGGAAAATAATCTATACATGATTAATTTGTGGAGTACGGAAGGTTGTCTGTACTATGAATGGAGGTTTTAATTCGATAATAATCTATACATGATTGCATATGAAGGTTTTAATGAGAAAATCGTGAACTAGCCATGGAAACTTATAGCTGGGAAAATCATTGAACAACACGGGGAATTCTCCAGCAGAGCATGTTTGATTACCGGATGATGGATTGCTGGATCTGAATCACAGAGCTGGAAGCGTGAGGAAAATCGGCTGGAAGTTGCTCGAAGTCCTGGACACTGTGGTTTTCCACATATATTTGAGACCGATAGATATACTGTATAAGACTCCACTTTTTGCAGCATTTGTACGACGAATTTGGCAAAGTGCTGGCAGTCGTAAGATGTGACTCTTGGCTATCTGTGACAGGGATTATTGAATTCAGGGATTCCTTAATGTGAGTAGTTTCACCCAAGGACTTCCTGATTTTGAGACCGGTTCAGTTAAATCAACTCAAGAACTTGTTTCATTGACATATCCTGGTGTTTCATTGACATCCAATATCCAACCATCGTTTTTTTTTAAACGAATCAACAGAGGCTCGGCTCATCCTCGGGATGTGGATTCCGGTTCCTGGCAGGTACGAGTTGTCCAAATTGGTGCAATGCCACCACTCGACGTACAGAAAGCTACCCGCCAAGATGCCAAAGTCACTGACTGGAGAACCAGCTGGAGCGACTTTGATTGGGAGGTCGATGGGTCCCATGGGTCGATGGGATGGCGATTCTCAGCAAATGTCAGGGCCATGCTGGATAGTACATGCGGGTATATACATGCATAGATATATTCACTATATATATATATAGATATTATATACATATAGATATTACATATATATATAGATAGATAGATGGATGGATGGATAGATAGATAGATTGATTGATAGATAGATATAATATTAATATATATAGTATTAAACAACTCTATCTCTCTCTCTCTCTCTACACACATATATATATATATGTACATTTGGAATTGAGTCAATGTACCATTTCTGGTCCATTTAGATTGTGAATCTTGTTCCATCAAGCCATTCACCAGGTGGGTACACCGGAGGCGGCGGCATCAGCCTGATGCTGGAGGGTGCCCCTGAGGCTTTTGGGGAACTCCAATCTTGGCCAAACGAAAACATGGGAAAAACATGGGAAAAAACCCTCAAATATAAGGAAAAGTGTTACTGAAGTATTTATTTTAAAGAAGTTTTCATCTTTTGCCAATAGAAGTATGGAAACTTTGGAGGGTCAATCCTTCGTTTGTAGGGACAAATCTATTGATTGCGATGCTTCATTAGTTGGTTGATGTTGGTGTGATTATCAGGAAAAGTACCTGGGTGAATGGGGGTTGCGAAGAGTTGACTACCAACTTGATACTTCTTTAGTCTGACACTTCACAACCTGGTGTGGACCTGTACCACCTTTTTGTGTGGCTGGGAACATTTCAGTGCCCATCATCCTGCACCACGCCGTGGTATTGGTGGCTCGAAAGCTTGTAAAAAGAGGGGGGTAGGGAAATTGAAAGAACTCACCGTTGACAGAGCTACGGTTTTCAAATCCCTCCCTGCCTGTGGTATTATGGCTGCTCGACTCGCGGTCTTCATCTCAGTTGCTGAAACTCCGTGGATGATCCAGATTGTGCCCAAACTCACCGTTTTTTCGTTTCGTAAAAACACTTTAGATATGAGCCATTAGATGAGGGACTCGGTATACCCTTTTTGGAGTTCCGGTCATATTTTGACACCTCAAAAGACCCCCGGCATCAGGTCTTGCTGCTCCCGCTGGCAACAGCCCACTCGCCCATTGGAACCAATGGGGAGCGATTTCGTGGCGGGAGTCGCAAGCTCTGGAACCTTGCAGCTCAGGACGCGAGACGAAAAGGTTGATGAAAAATGAACGATTTTTTCCCAAACTTGGGGCAAATTTGGTTGGCACTACTAGATGTATGTATGTATGTATGGAACATTAAGTTCGATTGTGACTGCCGTTAACTTGCTGCTCAAGTCATGCATGTTTTTGTGGGTTGAAGGTTTGGGGCTGGCTGACCATTGCAAGTGAGGTGTCTCGCCTTTCTTCTTGTCCCTTCCTTTGCGGCACGTCTTCCATCCCTTGGTTCTTGCTTGGGCCTGTGTTGGATTTCTTGCGGCCTTCCTTTTCTTTGGATTTCTCCTGTCCCTTTGGATTTTCCGATCTGGACTTGGCCTGTTGTTGTTGCACGTCCTGTCAGGTCGTCACCCAGATCACGTCTTGCCTAAAATCTTGAATGAGCTGTCCGCTCACTGCCTCTGAGATTTCTGAAGTAATCAATAAGCTAAAGAAGCTAGAGGTTTGGAAAAGGCAAGTAGAACAGGAGCAGGCATCAAGCTCTTCTGGCCAGGGTTACAAGAGAGGAGATCCAAAGGCTAGAGCCGCTGCAATTAGTGCGCCTCAGGTTAGGACTGTCTTTCCTGCTCTCCCAGTCATTGCTCAGACTTGGAATTTGGTCGAAGAAGCAGGTCCTGAGTTCATTGGAAAAGACTTTGACGGAGTCGAAAGTGGCCCAGGGACCATTCCTCAACTCGTGCTGGACCAAGCAGGTTTTGTGTCTTGGGATCAGAAGGACGCATTGCAAAGAATCCATTTGTGCTACAGTGCTGGTTTTTTCGCTCGGGCTGCTCTTGAGTGTTTCCTGGCAGAGCCTCTTTGTCCTCGTGACATATCATCGCCTGCGGAGCACTTCCTTGTTCTGCGAGCTGTGGGCCTCAGTGGACCTGTGCGTTTTGCCTCAGCTGAGCATTTTCAGAGGTTCAGAGATCAATCGTTTGAAGGAGGTCTGATTGCCCACGGTTTCCAGACCGAAACCGAGTTGCAAGTTTTTTGCCAAGGAGGTAGGATCCAAGTCCCGCCCCTCTTTGAACCATGCTCGAAAAGCACCGCATAAAGCCTGCAAGCAAAGGGGACCCTTCCTTGTTGGTCTTCACAGTTCCTGTGGAGATCTCATCGGTAGGGGATGCAGTAGACGTGTATGCTTTAGCAATTGAATTGAGACAAGGTGGAATGCTCCTTGCCTTACCGCATGATACTTTCTTGCAGCCCACTCTTGATGAGGGTCAAGATGCCACAGATGATGCTATGATTGGCCCGAATTCGGTTTTTTCGGTTGGTCTCGTTGAGGAGACTGAAGATCTTACAGCTACAGTTGCTCTGGGCGTTGAGGCGCCTGTTTTGGTGGTCGATGTCAGTGACGGCATTTTGCCGTATTGCCGAGAGTATGATCCAGTGACAGACAGCTTGGCAAGCATTCTTGGGTTTTCACTAGACTTCCCTCAAAGCCTCCCAGATGCTCCAGTTTTGCTATCCCTAGTAAAAGAGTGGTTGGTGCAAAGATCGGATGAAAGGACAGGTTTTTACACTGCTCAAGAAGACCAGAGTACTGTCCCAAAGACGCCTGTGCCAGCCGCCCCTACTGTGAATCCTGGGAAAAAGAATGCGACAGCCAAGAGGGTTACAAACACGATGATTGCAGACCAGTTGACGGCCTTGTCAGCTCAGATGGTGCTGCTCTCTCAGCGTCAGGACCACTTGGAGAAAGCTGCTTCTTCATCTGCCGCAGATGTTTCAGGTCTTTTTGTTGGCCCTACGCCCAAGTTGCCCCCGGTATCTGCAGGTCTGCCAAAGCTTGGGATGCCTCAGCCTTCAGTAGTTGCAGAGGCACTCAACCTGGTAGGACCCCCTCCCAAAGTGAAGTCGGGGGTCCCGCAGGTAGCTGTTCCAGATGTGGGGCAGGACGAGCCTTACGATGCACTTCAACCAAGTTCAGAGGAGGCTGGGAATATCGCCTTGGCCATAGCAAGACAGAGCAGCGCAATCACTACGCTGGTTGCGCACCTTGCCTCCCAGTCAGGCGATGTTTTAGGAGATCTGACGGCCGTAGGTCCTCATTCGAGTACCACCAAAGGCGTGCACAGAAGAGAGAAGATGCAAAGCGATCTTGCCATGGGAAACAGCTCCTTTTATGTGCAGATGATGCAGCAGTTGCACCGGAAGTTGCACCCGGCCAAACCTGTCCCTCAGACGGAAGCAGAACTTCAGCAGTTGTCCATTCTGTTGTATCTCGAAAGACAAGGAGGCTACAAGAATCAGAGAGAGAGATGGGTCTTTTGGCCTGGATTGTGGGTCATGCGTTGGACGCTGCTTCGAGCGGAGACTTCAACCGCACGAAGGAAGTTCTTGCTCTGTTGATGGTATCCCTGGAGCAATCAGTGGTAGATCGAGGAGATTGGTCTCTGGCCTATATGCTCTGGCTGTTGGAGGAGCCCCCATTGCAAGTTTTCCAGGAAAGGACCAACAACCTGCTGCACAATGCGCGTCCGTTCGGGCCACTTGTCCCACCTCAGTGGATGGCAGTTTGCTTACAGTACCTGAAGGATCTAGAGGTCCTTGCAACGAAGAAGAACGAGACATCGAAAAGGGCAGGAAAAGCTCCCCCGCCTGCGTTGCCAGCCGCTCCCTCAGAAGGTCCGGAAGAGGAGCCCTCCCCGAGGAGAAAGCCAAGGTTCCCAAAGCGGCCAAAGGCCAAGTCCACACCCGATGCATGAGTCAGGACCACAGGTCCGGGTCAGTCTTGGAACCCAAAGTTGTTAAGGGCAGACCCCATAAACTAATTAAAGGTGGACTTTTAAATAAGAGTAACTTAGGTAGCTGCCCTAGTTGTAAAGCACAGGTTTGTGATGGGTCCCCTTGCAAGTTTTGTGGATCTCATTCAAACGTCAAAGTTCCCGGAATTCATTTGAGCACAGATTTGGACACTCTTTCCTTTGCTAAGTGGTGTTCTTTCTTGACGACCTCTGTGCTGCGCACCAGAACGCCGTTTTCGATTTTTCTCCGTGCCACTTTGCACTTGGAACGAAGTTTGGTGGCTTCGTCATCGCCAGCATTTCCTTTGCCGCTGCCGTTTCCAGGCATTTTCGCAAAGACGCCTCCAGGTCTGTCTGCAGCCAAGAGACGTAGGTGCCATTTTAGACGTGCTCTCCATGTCTTGGTCATGGCCTTAAACTATTGGTGGTCAGGTAGCAATTTCATACCCATGGAATTTCTGGAGAGGGCACCCTCCCTAAACCAACAGCGGATCTTTCGCAGGTTGGCAAGCCTGATGCTGGCTGACGGCCCCCGGGAGTCTTTTGAGACTCTTAGGAGTGGTCGACGTTTTCCCCAATTAGTTGCTAGACTCTCTGAGCTTTCCGATGCTGTCACTAAACTGGGAGCAGGTGCCAGTGCCTATGACAAGACTTTTGCAGGGCATGAGGTCCCACTTGACAATAGCCTTTTTGAAGAGTTAGAGCCATATAGGTCACTGAATGCCAGCCGTCTGAAGGTTGTCGGTGAGGGGTCATTTGACGCAACACCTTATCTTTCCCCAGAGCTTTGCATGGCCTATCGCTTCCCTGATGCTCTTCTTTTGGATAGGATTCCTAAAGCTTTTGAGTATTCCCAAAAATTCGACCCTGTTGAAGAAGTGGTAGCGTTGGCGAAAGTTTGGGATGCCAGAGGACTGCTGCATATTCATGACATAGATGTTCAGAAGTGTGCTAGACATGAACTGGTTCGTGTCTTCAACTGCCTAAAAAATGCCCAATGTGACAGACAGATTGGTGACAGACGAGGTCGAAATGCAGTGGAGATGCGCGTTGCTGGCCCCTCGTCCAACCTGCCGACAGGCGCTGACCTCTTAGACTTTGTCGTGGATCCGAAGCTTGAAACCCTCTCCATAGTTTGTACGGATAGGAAGGATTTCTATCACCAATTTGCCACCTCTGCCAATAGGACTAGATCGAACACTGTTGGGCCACGTATTCCCCTGGAATTGTTGCGTGACACTGAAGCTTTGAAAGCTTTTGCATCCGCAAGAAGTGCCAAAAAACCTAGTCGTTTGGTAGGAGGTGATGGTTTGGGGTTTTCCAGTCGGCAAGCTTTTTCTCGATGCCCTGATGGATTTGTCATGGCTTCGTTTAAGAGTATATTCCAAGGTGATCATGCTGGGGTCGAAATTGCCACGTGTGCTCATGAAGGAATCCTACGTTCCGTTGGCCTTTTGCAAGATGAGAGCCGTCTTGAGAGCAGCCGGCCTTTTAGAGGCCAAGACATCTGTGAAGGTTTGGTGATAGACGACTATTTTGCCATTGCGAAGGTCCGCCCTGGAATCCTTGTTGACCCAGCAGTTGAGCGTTTCAAATCCTGCAAGGAAGTTTATGCAAACCTTGGTATTGTAGGGTCAGATGACAAGGATGTGAGTGGGGCCCGAAAGGCAAAGGTAATTGGTGCGTCTGTGGATGCCTCCCCCTGCTGTCAAGATAGGGGTCATGTCATGGTTGCTGCACCTGCTGCAAAACGCTATGCACTGTCTTGGATAACCCTCCAGCTCTGCCAACTTACACATACAACTGATGCGCTGCACCTGTGTGTGCTGGGTGGATGGACATCGACTTTGCTTTTTCGTAGGCCATTCATGTCCATTTTGCAGAAAGCTTTTCATGTGGTTGATGTTTTGTCCTTTGATGCATCAAGTCCGAAGTTGGTACCTCTGTCTAGGCCTGTTGTTACTGAGCTGACCTTGCTTAGCATCCTTGCCCCCCTGTGTGTCTCTGATATTGCGGTAGGGTTCTGTGATCGGCTGTTTGCTACTGATGCATCACTTGCGAAGGGGGCAATAGTCAGCTCTGAGATCAACCCTCATGTCATGGAAGGACTTTGGAGGGCCTGTAGGTCAAAAGGAGGCTATTCCAAGCTTCTATCGCCTGTGCAAAGCCTCCTTTCTAGGTGTGTGGATTTTGAAGAGACAGAGATGCGTGCTGATGAAGCAGTGAAGCGCCCATTGGCTTTCAGGTTTGATTTCATCGAGGTCTTTGCTGGAGCCGCCACTGTCACGTCGCATATGGCCGCCAAAGGGTTCTCCGTGGGATGTCCTATCGATTTGAGCCGCGATCCTGAGCTTGACATGACCAAAGTGCATGTGCTTGATTGGCTGCTGCATTCGGTGATGAACCATTTTGTGAAAGCGGTAATGGTCGAGCCGCCCTGCACAACATTTAGCATCATGAGGAAGCCACCCTTACGATCAAAGTGGTTCCCTTTTGGGTTTGACCTAAAGGACCCACAGACACAGATTGGGACACTGCTTGGATATAGGGCATTTCAAATTTTGAAGGCTGGTGCAAGGTGTGGGATCACAGTTGTCTTGGAAAACCCGTGGTCATCGATGATAAAAAACCTTCCTCCATGGGAGGAGCTCCTTGGCCATCCTGAGTGTGAGCTTGTGCGATGTGATTCATGTGCTTATGGTTCACCTCACTTAAAGGCTTTTGCTTTCCTGTGCGTCTGGGCTGATACCAGTTTTATCTCTTTGCGTTGCTCTGGAGGGCATACTCATGTGCCCGTACAAGGAGCCCTGACTAAGAAATCTGCCATCTATGTGAGTGACCTAGCCGAGGCGCTTGCAAATGTCATGGAAAAGGGGATTTTTAGGTTGGCAGAATTCGAAAGAGAGCTGGTGCCAGATGAGGTTTTGGGCCTTGAAAGCCAGCTGATCAACGAGCTTGCACTTTCCAGCACCTGGTCGTGTGATGCGGTTTGGAATTTTAGGATTTCTGCCCATATCAATTTGCTTGAACTTGAGGCTGTTGTTCGTCTGGTTGGTCGTCTTGTTGCCAAAGGAATCAGCAAGCGGATTGTTATCCTGGTGGATTCTAATGTCATAAAGTGCGCTGCATCCAAAGGTCGGTCCTCTTCCCGTGCTCTTTCGAAGGCCCTCAGAAAGCTCGCTGTTTTGTCGATCGTTGGTGGCCTCTACATTGTCTTTGGCTTTTGTCCTACTCGTTATAATCCTGCTGATGACCCAACTAGGGAAGTGGAATTGCGGGGCTCCATCCCGGGCATGGACTTTGCCGCTTGGGATCGCTTGGATTTCTATCGCCTGGCTTCCCTTCCAAAGTTGCGTAGGTGGGCCTCAAATTGGGTCAGGTTGGTTCTTTGCCTTTTGGGGCCTGCTGGTCTTGATCTTACGGATCGTTCAAAGTACCGTGTCCCTCCTTTTCCCTATGGTCTGCACAATGTTGCCTCTGTCCCTGCTGGGTTGGAATCCATCCCCCTGTCCATGGAATTTGATTCAACCTTGGGTTACCCAGGCGAAGGTCCTCCTCACCTCACTTGCCATGGTCTGCTTTGGTTCCGGGCTTTTTGTTTTATGATGTGTTGTGTTTTACGTTTCACTCATGGCGTACTGGTTCCGCGAAATGCTGGAGATCTACAACGACTGAGTCTACGAAATCAAAGACCTCCACTTCCTGAAGGTAGACCCGTTTTGGGGATTACATCTCAGCACCGGGTCTCGCATTTGGAGCAATTCAGGTCCTGGCTTTCTTCTTTGGGGGTTTCTCTGGATGATATGCTGGAACAACATTTCACACGCATCGATGAGCTTAATAAGAATTTGGTCAGATACGGCCGTGCTCTTTATGCTTCAGGAAGGCCCTACAACCATTACGCTGAGACGGTTAATGCTGTAGCATCTTTGAAGCCCGTGGTGAGACGGCAACTACAGGAGGCTTGGAATTTAGCTTTCGCTTGGCAAAGAGATGAACCTTCGGTACACCATATTGCAATGCCATGGCAGATTTTACTTGGGGCAATTTCAACATGTCTTTTCTGGGGCTGGCTGGATATGGCAGGGATGCTTGCTCTGTCTTGGGGTGCGCTACTGAGAGTAGGGGAGTTCCTTTCAGCAACTCGTCGTGACTTGTTACTGCCTGTGGACACCAACTTCACAAACAGGTTCGCACTGTTGGCATTGCGGGAGCCCAAGACGAGGTTTACTGCAGCGAGACATCAAAGTGCAAAATTAGATATTCCGGATCTTCTTCGAGTTGTTCACCTGGCATTTGCTCATTTACAACCGTGGCAAAAGCTTTGGCCAAAATCTGCTCAAACACTGCGCTCTCGTTTTAGAGTTCTTCTCTGCGAACTTGGGATTCAGTCTTTGCGGATGAATGGTAAAACCCTCGATTTGGGGTCGCTACGCCCGGGTGGGGCAACTTGGATTTTACAACAAACAGAAGACAGCGAGTTCACTAGACGACGTGGACGTTGGATCAATCAGAGAGTGATGGAAATTTACATTCAAGAAATTTCCTCTTTCCAGTACTTGTCAATAGTGCCTCCCAATTGCCGGTTGAAGATATATGCTTTGTGCGATTCTTTCTTGGCTACTCTCGAAGGTGCTGAGATTTTTCAATCTGCTGGAATACCTTTGACTGTCTGGTTTCTCGTTTGGCAAGGTCAAGTTAATCGGAAGTAATGGGAGAAGTGGGTGAAGTTCTTTCAGTGCTGGTCATGTTTGACCCAGCCAGGTCTGAAAGTTGTGTACCTTTACTCACTGAGTGCAATCAGCAAGGAAAACATGCGCTGGAGCTTGAGAACTTGGAACATTAAGTTCGATTGTGACTGCCGTTAACTTGCTGCTCAAGTCATCCCACCCAGGATCTTGGGCCCATCCCACTTTTACAGACTTGCCAAGCGGGTGAAGTTCTTTCAGTGCTGGTCATGTTTGACCCAGCCAGGTCTGAAAGTTGTGTACCTTTACTCACTGAGTGCAATCAGCAAGGAAAACATGCGCTGGAGCTTGAGAACTTATATATATATAATACACATACATACACACTAGAATATATGAATTACTTAGTATACAGTATATAATGACACTGATATGTATATATGTATATACACATAGTTTAAGATCAATTGGGTGAAGACGCAAACTTGTGTCTTGCTGAGCTTTGTTGCCGCCTTCTTCCTCTTTTTTCATGTTTTGATTTTTTTCCTGCGAAGAAAGGAGAACCACATTTGGGGGAAGTGTGACGAGTGGGACCACAAAGTGGCCGGCTGTGAGCTCAATTCGCAATACAAGTGCAGTGCCTACATCTCTGAAGGGCCTGCCCAGCGCCATGGCAAAACCATGAAACCAACTTCCGCTGAAGTGGTGCCATTTTTGATAGATATGATTCATATCAATTATAATTATATGCATACAATAGATTTTTACATGTATATTATATGTGAGATGTGATGTGATGTGATGTGATGTGATGCGATGTAATGCGATGTGATGCGATGTGACATGATGTCTATCTATCTATCTATCTAGCTACCTATCTATCTATCTTTCTATCTAGGTATCTAGGTATCTAGATATGGTTCCCCCGCAATGCGATTGCATCCTGCTCTCAGTCCTTTTCCCCCTGTTTTCGACGCCCAGCCCCGCCCAAGGTATGACATCGAAATCGTGCTGGGTAACCTGACGCCTTCCACTCCGGAGCATCCGGTGCATTTGGCGTGGTGGTCGCCTCGAAAGTCCGAAACCCCTTGGAATCCACACATCAGCCTGGCCGGAGCGGGGTTTATCGGTGGTCTGATTTTCATTCCGATACATGGGGGAAACAAAAAAAGAACATGTTTGGAGATTCCACTCTTAGTTCGTCTTTTCTGTGAAATCATCTTAGAATTTCCATAGAATTCTAGCTTCCGCCGTCCAATCCCCAGTTTCACGGGCTCGCAGGATGTGCGGTCTATGGCTGGATGACCGACGCCTATCCCAAGTACGGCGACGCGGACTTCAACGGAGGCAATCAGTTGGTGGGCACCGATGGCACGGTAACGATCCGAGTCCAAGCGCCGTCCACGTACTTTGTGACGAATTGGATCTCAGTGCCACACGTGCATCTGCGCGTGTGCAGCAATGTGGCGTGGTGGCAATGGCTTGAACATTTAAGGGATATTTAAGGGATGTTTGGGTTGATCACACTTGGATACAGTATGATACAGTAAATGATGGGATCTACTGTAGTGTCACCTCCTATGATACAGTTGGTAAGACTGGTAAGAGCCTTTTTGAAGTTGGGACTTAGAAACCATGGTTGTACTAGCCACGAAGTGAAACGATGGTCCGCGTGTCCTGGAGTGATAGCAGGTCCCGGCCTTTGAGTTGGAGGGGTAACAGGACGCAGAATCTTGAGGATCAACATGGACCGCAGTGTGGGCTCAGGACACCTATGCTCATACCACCCAAGATGCCATAGTCTTCGTGAAGAACGGTCCCGAGCTGGTGGCTGGGGAGTCAGGTTCCGACCTGCAGGTCGTGAGCGTCAAGAACATGAGCTACACATCCACTCCAGGCTCTGGCGACGTCAGCCGGGCGGCTCAGGGAGCACCTGATGCACCTGGTTAGACATGCCAAAAAATGGCATGTCTGTTTCCAGTGAAAGTGAAAAACCGCCGCTTACTGTGTGGGCTCCGAGGTGACAACAGGATCTTTGGCATTTTGGTCTGGAAGAAGGCCGCTTCAGAGACAGACTATATCACTTGCCGGTGTATGGTTTGTTGTGAAGTGCCATAGTTGCACATGACCTGATTTTAAAAATGCTAAATGTGATCAAATTTTCTTGACTTCTCCACGTTGCACCTGACAGCCCAAGTCCTCTTTCGAATAGATCTAGTGTTGCCCGCTGTCGGCTCACCCACCGGCAGCCTACCTGATTCTTCTGTGCTGATCATCGGTGGTTATGTCTGCAGCTACCATCCAGTAAACAAACAAGGCTTGCTGCAAAATTCCCCATTTAGTCTGACAATTTTACCATAGATGCCCAGATAGTTCGGGGATTTCCCAGTCATGTTTGATGATGCCGGAGGGTATCACTCAATATGCCATGAACATCCTATGAACATTCCATGAACATTCCATGAATATTCCATGATCTCCCATGTATATTTCCCTATCAATCATATCCCATTAAATGCCATCACATCCCATTCCTGCAACCTATCATCTCCCATATTTTCTCGTCAGGGGGGCACTGTTGGCACGACCACGCCATTGCCCAACGGCTTAATTGAAGAGATCATTGATGATGAGATGGCGAAAATGAATTGGGAGCCTGGGATGAAAGAAACGTTGATGTTGGGGGCCTGGAGCACTAGCTTTTGGAGGCTCCAAATCATTCATTTCAAAAGGTATATATATGCATAATTATGCATATACATAGAGACATGGAAAATAGAAACATATTAGAATAAATAGATAAATGACGATCATACGTTTACGACCAATGCTGTTGTTTTGTTTGACCAAATCCATGCTGTCAAGTAAATACAACAGTGAGAGATAGTTGAGGTGACGGGAATGAATCCCTCGAGACTCTCTGAACTTCTGCCTGTTGCAAAAAAGGGTAATAGCTGCCCTCTCACACTCTCCACCTCTCTTATGTGTGTACATCTATCTAACATATACATATATATATAATATATGATTAATATGATTTAACTATATAGATAATGTTTGAATCTGTGTAACGTACATGCTGCATATGTTTACTTGTATACACTGCTGAACACTCTCATCACCACCGTCAGGGTGTCTGAATTTTCAAAAGCAGTTGAGGATGGAATTCTCACACATTTAACAATATCGATCAATTATATACGGTATATAATCACTATCTCCCTCTCTCTCTCTCTATATATATATTATCCCATAAAACAAAAGTATATCCCAATATAATCTCCAACGTTTCCAATGTCTAGTGTTTGGCCTGTCTTTTGCAATCTTTGTGCACCCGTTTTTCCTGGTGCTGCCTCTGTGGCGCACTGCTTGCGGCCGAGAAGGCACGCTCGCGACTGGGTCGCGGTCAGCGGACGTGGGAGAAGGCTCCCCGTGATATTAAAACAATTTAAAACATCATTTTTGTTGGAGACCATCTATAAGAACTTGTCTCCCCATTGCCATTAGATCCTTTCATTTTGCAACAAAAATCATCCGTAGATCCCAACAAAAATGCCCAGGATGCCTTGGAATTCTCTCCCATCTATCAATGCTTCATGGAAGAGAAGCTCTTCGATCACTTCACCGCCTCCTGCACCGACACATGCGGCCCTAACGCCGTGGTGGCACGTGGCCAATGTCACTTGGCTCATGGCACGACAAATTCACGGGGAGATAGGAAAATTGATACGGGGAAATTGGGATGATGTGGGGATATAACTATAGTTAAAGGGGATGAGACAGCAAACTCACAACCGGAATCGCCATTTGGGATATTAATGGGGATATGTTGGCTTAAATGTAACGAATTATAGTTAATCCATATGAATAGGATTTCATGGGATATGGAGATAGGTCAAAATTAATGAATTTACCATATGACTGGGGAAATCGACACCAGCCGGGTGCCAAGGTTTTAACTCATAGCCAGGTCAGGACGTTTCAGCACAGTCCAGGAATGTTTTTTTAGTCTAGGAGAACTGACACAACCCATCATTTTTTGAAAATCTATTTACTTATTCATTGATATAAATAAATAATTATATATATATATATTAAAAAAACTATTTACTATTTACCCATCTCTTCTTGTATCAGCACTTCTTGTCAGTCCATCGACATTTTCAGGTGTGCGCCCCGAGCGTGGCGTCAGGGTAGAAGCCGTGGCCAGTTGGAGCCTGTCGGTGCAGTGCAACGAGGTGGAGCCGTGAAACCGTTACCAAACATGGGTGAAACTAATGGTTGGTACCATATATAATACTGATAGATATACCCTCTGGATATAGTGGTTAATAGTGAGTAATAGATATTAATAGTGGTTAAAATAATGATAATTTATGGTGATCAATGGTGATATACCCCCTGGTAAATTATAAATCCACGAACTAAATGGCAATTTTCAAGTTAAATTCCCAGAGGGTACCATATATAATACAGATAAATGGCCCTTAGACCAATCATAAATCGTTGATTTTGGCCCAACCAGCTATTTATGGTAGGTTTATGATTTTGGCCCAACTAACAGTTGCTCTGATGGGCTTATATATGATTGATGATATTTCACCAACTAGTTATAGGAATTCTTTCATTCCATACGTGTTGGGTTTGGAGATGTGACCACAAACCTCCCTATGGGAGCTATGGTTGCTATATTCCCAACGGGGAGCTAAGGAGTCACCAAGAGTTTCCCGTTTCCACATGATACCCTTTGGTAAACTAACATAGCTATTGAAAATGGCCATTCATAGTGAGTTTTCCCATTAAAAATGGTGATTTTGCATAGTTATGTTAGTTTACCAGAGGGTAGTATAATCGGGACATTGATATATCCGTGTTCGGGACATTGATGCAATAGACATTGGTAGTGCGATATTGTCCATACGTGCAATATTTTGGGTTTGATGAGATATTAGATTGCTGAAATATGATCCAACTGGAATCGGAAACACGGAGTATTTAACGCGCCAAAATACGGATTTCATTTAAATTGCACACAATAACTGGGATAAATCCTGGGAAAAAAAAAGGTATTTAACGAATTAGTTCATGGAGGATTTTCCAGTGCCCCGTTTGATTACCAGAGGGCAATGACCGGGTAATGGAACATATCATGGGGTATATGAGAGGATGGGGTCAATACCTGTCCCACAGGTATTGACACCGATTTGATAATCATCCTTTGGAACTGGTGTAGCAGTGGTACCCTTCTGGTGATTTGTTACATAGCTATGGAAACCATGGCCCATAGCTAGTTCAATGATTTACCATAAAAAAATATGGTTATTTTCCAGTTCGCAAACTGTTAAATTATTAGAGGTTTACTATCAGAAATTTGGGATTTTACCACAACATGTTGGAGGCCCAGCACTGGGTCAGTGCAGATCAGACAGACAGCGGGTCACAGCAAATACAAGTGGTTTATATACCTTCTGGCAATTTAAGATAGCGATGGAACATGACAATTTTTGGTAGGTAAATCTGGTAATTCATTTCACTAAATGACCAATGACTTGCATAGCAATGTTGAACTGCCAGAGCATGTTGTGGGGGGTGTACGCTTACGAACGACAGGCTTGCTGGAACGAATGGAAGAACAAGACACTTCACTACACCAGGCCGTTGCGTTGATGTTCGACCTTGGGCGATGTTGGGCCCCCCCCAAGCGCAACCGCAGCAGCTGGGAAAATCATCTATACATGGCGGCTTTTCCAGCCATGTTTGATTACCAGAAGGTCACCCCGCAACTCAACACTGCAGAGTTGACACTTTTGGACACGCTGAAATTGACAAATCTGGTAGGCTGGCAGTCGCTGATATGCTGGACATCCCTTTCCAGGTGCGGCAGCTGCGGGATTTTTGGGATGTCTCGTTGGGGTTCTGACAGTATTCAGTATGATCATGGGAATATAAGCCATACAACTATGGTTTGAATATAACTATAACAACTATGGTGAAATATAACCCACTAGTGGAATATAAGCCAACTATGGTGAAACCAAAGCCACTAATTAGTGGAACTGCATCCACGTGAGTCTCGATGGGTCGAATCCCCAGCGTTGGGCAAACATCGCTATTGTTTTCGAGCTACCAACTTTTGTTGGTGAAATCTACATTTGACGGATTAGAATTCAGCTTCAGTCCACATTTCTTGTGGGTCGACTCCCTTTTTTCAGGGCTGAAACATGCTGAAGCTCTAATTTCTTACCGCCTCAATCCCTATTGTCATGGCTTAAGTTACCATTCTTAGTTGCTGAGACATCCTGATTCTTACATCCATGAACCTTTCACCCATTTCAACAACTTTTGACCATAGAACTTTGCAAAAAACCATAGAAGTATATATATATAGTTACGGACTGAAACTTAGAATGCCGCACCCCTTCAGGTCGCGCTGTCCTAAAGAATGCCGCCGCGGGGGCAAAATCTTAAAAAACCCTGGTAAAATGCAATTTTCGGGTACCTGTAATTTGACCTGGTCTTTTTGTAATGAGTCGTTCGTAGGTAAATTTTGTGAGAATTTACAGCGTAATATGAGATTGAGTGCCACACATAGAATGCCTCCGGCCAAAAAGCCCAGGTCACAGCATGTCAAACATTTGAAGCCCATATTTTCAAAATACTCGGTGTACGTGGGGTTTTATGTACTTTGTGCAGCCCACATAGAATGCCGCCAAAAACATATACAAATGTCATCATTCTGTTGCAAAATCTCTGTTTTTTTTGTGAAACACATGGTTTGAAGGATTGTATAAATTTACTATTTCATATGAATAATTGTATATAAATCCAATCTCATGGGAGGTTTCCTTTCACTCGCTGCCCGCTATGCCGCCATCCCAGCGACTGACGCCACACCACTTATATACAAAGAATTCAACTTGTTGCACACATACACACGCATACAATCACACGCACGTTGTTTTTATGAAACGACAGTTCACCACAAGGAAGGGGAGCTTGCTCATTGTTCTCTCGATTTTTCATTTGTATATTACAAAAGCATAAAAATAAATATATATAGTCGAGAACTGAAACTTAGAATGACGTTTTGGAAAGTTAACCAGACGGTTTTACACTTAGAATGCTGCCAAAAATGTTACACATAGAATGCGTCCAAGGGTTTTGGGGGCATGTGTTTTATGTTTTTTGCTGATTTCCACATGAATTATGCTCTCCTTGACGATTTTTGTCCCTCCCGGCTGCATTTGTAACACTTAGAATGCCACACCTATCCTTTCCTTTTTCATGTCTTTTTTCCTTTCCTTTTTCCTTTCCTTTTTGCTTTCCTTTTTGCTTTCCTTTTTGCTTTCCTTTTTGCTTTCCTTTTTGCTTTCCTTTTTCCTTTCCTTTTTCATGTCTTTTTTCCTTTCCTTTTTCCTTTCCTTTTTGCTTTCCTTTTTGCTTTCCTTTTTGCTTTCCTTTTTGCTTTCCTTTTTGCTTTCCTTTTTCCTTTCCTTTTTGCTTTCCTTTTTCCTTTCCTTTTTCCTTTCCTTTTTCCTTTCCTTTTTCCTTTCCTTTTTCCTTTCCTTTTTCCTTTCCTTTTTCCTTTCCCCTTTCCTTTCTCCTTTCCTTTCTCCTTTCCTTTCTCCTTTCCTTTCCCCTTTCCTTTCTCCTTTCCTTTCTCTTTTCCTTTCTCCTTTCCTTTCTCCTTTCCTTTCTCCTTTCCTTTCTCCTTTCCTTTCTCCTTTCCTTTCTCCTTTCCTTTCCTTTTTCCTTTCCTTTTTCCTTTCTCCTTTCCTTTCTCCTTTCCTTTCTCCTTTCCTTTCTCCTTTCCTTTCTCCTTTCCTTTCTCCTTTCCAATTATCCTTTCCTTTCTCCTTTCCTTTTTCCTTTCCTTTTTCCTTTCCTTTTTCCTTTCCTTTTTCCTTTCCTTTTTCCTTTCCTTCTTCCTTTCCTTTCTCCTTTCCTTTCTCCTTTCCTTTCTCCTTTCCTTTCTCCTTTCCTTTCTCCTTTCCTTTCTCCTTTCCTTTCTCCTTTCCTTTCAACCAGGCGGTTTTACACTTAGAATGCTGCCAAAAATGTTACACATAGAATGCGTCCAAGGGTTTTGGGGGCATGCGTTTTATGTTTTTTGCTGATTTCCACATGAATTATGCTTTCCTTGACGATTTTTGCCCCTCCCGGCTGCATTTGTAACACTTAGAATGTCACACCAATCCTTTCCTCTTTCCTTTCCTCTTTCCTTCTTTTTCCTTTCCTTTTTCCTTTCCTTTTTCCTTTCCTTTTTCCTTTCCTTTTTCCTTTCCTTTTTCCTTTCCTTTTTCCTTTCCTTTCTCCTTTCCTTTCTCCTTTCCTTTCTCCTTTCCTTTCTCCTTTCCTTTCTCCTTTCCTTTCTCCTTTCCTTTCTCCTTTCCTTTCTCCTTTCCTTTCTCCTTTCCTTTCTTCTTTCCTTTCTCCTTTCCTTTCTCCTTTCCTTTCTCCTCCCCTTTCTCCTTTCCTTTCTCCTTTCCTTTCTCCTTTCCTTTCTCCTTTCCTTTCTCCTTTCCTTTCTCCTTTTCTTTCTCCTTTCCTTTCTCCTTTCCTTTCTCCTTTCCTTTCTCCTTTCCTTTCTCCTTTCCTTTCTCCTTTCCTTTCTCCTTTCCTGTCTCCTTTCCTTTCTCCTTTCCTTTCTCCTTTCCTTTCTCCTTTCCTTTCTCCTTTCCTTTCTCCTTTCCTTTCTCCTTTCTTTTCTCCTTTCCTTTCTCCTTTCTTTTCTCCTTTCCTTTCTCCTTTCCTTTCTCCTTTCCTTTCTCCTTTCCTTTCTCCTTTCCTTTCTCCTTTCCTTTCTCCTTTCCTTTCTCCT